GGGGTTGGGGGAAGGGGGAAAGGGAGTGATAGGGGGTTGGGGGATGAGGCTGGGGGAGTATATAGAGGTGGGTAAGTGTATGTATGTGATAGATATTTGTAACTCTAGAAAATAGGGGTTAGGTAGTGGGGGTAGGGATTGAAAAATATCAGCCTGTATTTTTAGTATCCGAAATTGGGGTTAGACAGTAAAGGAGATCAGGTAAGCTTGCTGGATGAGATGAAACTCTGAGTCACTCTTCTTTTGACAACTGTTTTGAACATGATCAAACAAAGTTTGAATGACCGTCACCAGGTAAAGTCCATTCCAGAGATATTTATCTCACAACAGGTTGGTAATTTGAACACATCAACTTCGTTTGGACGTCGAAAATAGCAATGTTTTGGATGTATTACTTTTCACCCAGGATTCGGTCACATGTAGGAGGGCCAGAAAAACAACCACAAAGTGCAAGTCCTTTGGAAACTAACTTCAAGCCAACTTCACATCCGGCCCATACCATTTCACTACACAGCACAAATCAACTCAAGTCATCATGAAAACCCAAAACTCAGCAATCATTCATTGAACCCTTACAACGCCAATCTGGACAATAACACAATCCAGACATCAATATCATAAACAGAAACAGCCGAACAGTTTTTCCCTAACACCAACAACAATATCCAGTCACAATCTCCCTCAACCCTCTATACCGTCTTCTCTTAGTGACTTCCTCAAATATCCTCGCTACCCTCCCTCTCGCCACCCGCAGTAATGAACACCAACCTCGTTCCGTTACCAGCTGTTTGCCAGACCTGTTTTTTGTCATGTTGTTAGCATCATTCCCCAATTGTAGTACACCAAACCAAAACCAGGGGGTAACAAAAAGGAAATGGAAAAGGGGGAAAGGGGAAGACGGAAATGAAAAAGGGAACGTAAGGGGGAAAGTAAAGAAAAGAAGGGTACTCACATCCAAATCAGTATACTCATCCAACGCACCAAGCCACTGCTGTTCCGTGAACCCCTTAGCAATGACCCGTTCCTTGACCTTCCTCAAGCTCATCTCCACCCCAAACTCATCCTCCTCCTCCTCTTCTGCGTCCGCATCATCAGGCCGACAAGCTCCACTATCCGCCAACCCCTTGACCAAGTTATAAATCCTGCTACTGGCATTCATCGCCCTCCTATTACCAGCATTTCGATCATCCTGCGCCAAGCTCTCCTTGCTAGCTTCCACCAGCCTCAAAGCCTCGTCCACATCATCTTGCGTCACCGTGTTACTAAACCGCAGACGCGCAAGGGCTTGCGCGAGACGGACCACACCTAGCAAAGTACGGGGGGTGGTATGTCCAAAATTCTGGTTCTTCTTCTCTGCGCGCTTCTGCTGGGCGCGCAAGCGCACGTAGGTCTTGACCATGTACTCTGACACTGCCTGGGGGACTACCGGGCGGTATTCGCGGGCTTTGGCGACGTAGGCGCGGACTTCTTCGGGGGTGAACACGGAGCTGTCAGGACCCGTGCCGATGTCCGGGTGGCGGTTGTGCATGTGCACGTACGCGACGTGTTTGGCGAGCAAGGCGTCGGTGTCGCGCGTGGGCGTGTCGAGGAGGAGGAACATGATGTCGAATCTGGAGAGGAGGGCAGCAGGGAGGTTGATGTTTTCTACGGCCGACAGACGGGTGTTGTATCGCCCGTAAAGCGGGTTAGCGGCCGCCAGGATGGAGGTGCGCGCGTTCAAGGTGGTGGAGATGCCCGCTTTGGAGATGGAGATGGTTTGTTGTTCCATTACTTCGTGGATGGCTGTGCGGTCGTTGTCGTCCATTTTGTCGAACTCGTCGATGCAGCAGATGCCGTTGTCGGCGAGCACGAGGGCGCCGCCTTCGAGAACCATCTCGTCCGTCACAGGGTCGCGCATCACGGCCGCGGTGAGACCCACGCCGGAAGAACCCCGGCCGGAGGTGTACACGCCCCGAGGAGCGACCTTGGAGATGTACTTGAGCAGCTGCGATTTGGCTACACCGGGGTCACCCATTAGGCAGATGTTGATGTCGCCGCGGATCTTCATGCCGTCGCCGACTTCCTTGGTTACACCGCCCACCAGCAAAAGGAGGAGAGCCTTCTTGACGTCGAGGTGGCCGTAGATTTCGGGGGCGATGGACTTGGCGAGGTACTCGTAGGTGTTACCGGTTTGCTGGAACTTGGCGATGCGGCGAAGCAGGGAGGGGTCGATTTGCATCTCGGTGTAGGCCTTCTTGTGCTGCACAATGTGGTGCGCCTCGAGGTAGGTGTCGGTAAGAAGACCGGCGCGCATAGCCTTGAAGCCGGTGTAAGGGGTAGGGAGGAAGATGCCGGAAATGTCGACAATGTCACCGGGGTGAACCTTTCTGACCAAACTGCCGTAGGCAAGAATGGTGAGAGTACGGGGAATCTGGCCGATGGGGACCTGCTCGGCGAGTTCCTGGATCTTGATCTCCTGGAAGGGCAGGAACTTGGAAGCCCTTGACGAGGGGTACAGCTGACCCTTGGCCTGGTTCTCCTTGCAGTCCTTAGATGGGCAGAGAGTCAGGGGGGCGTACTGCTTATCGGTGACGGGCTGGAAGATTTCGCAACCGCAGCGGTCGCAGGTGTAGGCGCCGACCTGCACGATGGGCTTGACGTCGGACACACGGGTGGCGATGCCGCGGATGGTGATGAGGTGGCCAAGGTGGTCGCCGCGTACTTGGCGGACGGAGAGGGCTTTTTGAGGGCCATCATCGGTCATGGTCCTGGGCTTGAAGACGAGGGTGTAGCGGCGGGTGAGCTGGGCGGGGTATGTGTCGTTGAGCATGTCGGGGTCGCGCAGGTTCTCGGCGGCCTCGGTGAGGGTGCGGTTGCGCTGTTGGCGGTTGGCCATGAGGACGTCGAGCACATCGTCCTTGAATGTGATGTCTTGGCTGGGCTGGGGCATCAGCTTGTCGACGGCGCGCGACAGGACCTCGACGTAATGCTTGGTGTTGCGCTCTACCGACTCAACCAGCTTGAGGCCCTCGTTGACATCGTCCTCCCATGATTGCAGGTCGTCCAGGTCGATGACTATCTCGTTGATCTTGCGGTCGGCCAGTTCCTGAAGAAGCTCCTTGTACTTGTGGCGGGGGGCGCGTCTCCTAGCTCTTTTCTGGCGGCGCTGTTCCTGCGCATCGTCGTCCTCGTCCATGAAGTCATACTCGTCGCTCAGGTCGTCCTCGTTAATGTCGATGTTTCCTAGCGCATGGGTGATGGTGTCTTGGGGAGATGTCTTGAAGCCGTCGAGGAAGTTTTCGAACGCGGCTGTTTCTCTGACCATTAGCTTTCCTGCCTTTTTGCGATCCTCTCCTCCGCGATTCAAGATGATGCGATCCAGGTTTTCCCTCCTCCTCGTTGGCTCTGGAGTTGTAATATGATCACTTACACATTTGCGCGTCGTAATCGACGGGGGCGGGGTATCTGAGGAGCGCCATGGTGGGAGTTGTGTGGTGATGTGGCGCAACTCGGTATGTGGTGTGGTGGTTAGAGGTTGTTTTGGTGTTTTGGTTGCGATGGGAATTCGGCTTGGATGAATGTCAACATTGAATGGAGAAGCAAAGAGTGGGTCCCCAAGTTGACTGGGGGTGGTTGGACTTGTCGCGTTTTGAGTCGCCATGAGACGCGTCCAAGCAAAGGAATCTTTAATGGGCTGCAGCCGTCCCTGGGCACTGACAGTGGCAGTTGGCAGTGAGTGGCAGGAATGAAGTTACAGGATGCGTGTCAGTGTTGGAGAGGGACTTGTGTCTTGAATTGAGCCTCATAAGTGTAGACTGTAAGAGTGCGACATTCACCATCATCTCAAGCCATTGAGTACTTGTAACCAGCTTATCTTTCTCTTAAACACTGTCCAGTATCTAGACATCCTTCATCTCTCAGATTTACTCATTCCTGTGGTTGCAACTCCGGATATCTTCTTCCTCAAAATCATCACCATCTTCAAGACAAAGTCCATCCTAACAATACATGCGGCTGTACCTGCGCTGGGACATCCCCGAAACCCCCTGTAACAGGTCCCTGTGCCTCGGCACATGCGACTGGGGCATTTGGAGAAGCTCCAATCGGGCTCCAGCGGCGGCTCCAGTTCTCCCCAAATCAGCTGCAGTCAACACCAATCATGTCCCCTGATCTCCGCCCAAAGAGAGAACCAAGACAGCTGGAAACCCGGGGATGGGAGCGGATTCCCGGTGTAATTGTTAGGTTAACTCTGCTAAGCTAACCATACGGTCAGGACACTTTCATCTGGCATCTTTCTTGGACTCTTCATCATCTATGCAAAACACCGCGACAACATCACGACCATAACAGTAGTCGACACCGACGAAGACGACACCCACCAGCCAACATGGCTCCCAGAAAGAACGCGCAGTCTACGGCTGCCGAAATCTCCCTGGTCCATCTCCAAAACTGCTTCGTCAACCTGCCACCGTCACTGGCCTCCCTCCTCTCCAACGTCAACACGGTGAGTTAGAAGAAGAGATGGAAGAAAAACCATATATGTTATTAGACTCTAGCTGACACAGAACCCTTACAAATAGCCCGCCCAGAATGTCATTGTCGAACTCAACTACCGCGTCCAGTCGACCCCTGACGCCATCGCACAAGGCGCCCCCGCCTCGGTCAACAAAAACATCTTTGTAGGATGGACCGGCATGCCCAGCAAGCGCAAGGTCAACCCCCTGGTGGGGAGTCACGGCATCGACAGGACGCGGTCTACATCGTCACGCGACCAGGAAATCCCCCTCGTCGAGATCGACACCACTCTGGCCGGCACCCTAGGCCTTAAAGAAGGACAAAAGGTCATGGCCACAGTACACTTCGACCCGCCCATGGCCACCACCGTCAACATCGAACCCCTTACTCCCGACGACTGGGAGATGATCGAGCTACACGGCACCTTCCTCGAAGACAACCTCCTATTCCAAGTCCGCGCCATCCCCAACCCCGTCTACGCTCCCGGCGGCGTTCTCTCAACACCCCACCCCTTAACCCTACACCTGTCGCAAACATCCAAGGCCAACATCAAGGTCATCTCCATCGACCCTCCTCTACCTCCTGACGCCCCATGCGCCAAGATCGCTCCCGACGCCGAAATCATCGTGGCCCCCAAGGTCCGCTCCAAGACACGCAGTAGCAAGGATAACCGGAGTGTGGGTGGAAACTCCAAGAAGAGCGGCAAGAGCTCGGCCAGCACAAGTCGGAAAAAGAAGGAGGAAAAGAAGCCACCCGTGTTTCTCAGGGGTATCGACCGGAAACATCTCCAGGAATGGTTCGACGACGAGAAGCCGACCGACGACCTTAGCGTATGGGTTGACCGCGACTTGTTGACAACGGGAGACTTGAAGGGGGCCAAATTTGTGTCTGTTACCGTGGTGCGCCCAGCTGGTTTGCAACCGACAACCGATACCCCTGTTCAGCCCGAGCAGGTCGATCCGGCTTCGGCACCATCAACCAAAATTGTGGCTCACCTCCGCGGATGGGATGACCCTCCTGATGGACAGGTAGCTGCTCTTTCATCGCCTCTTGCTGCGGCAGTTGGAAGCGAGGGTATGGTTGGTGGAGTGGTCAAGCTTGAAGCGGCTCCATCTCCCTTGGGCAAGAAGAGCGTGGACAAGGACGGTGTTTCGCGCGCTTCGCTTACAAAAATCAACATATACCCGTTTGCTTCGACCAAGGCTACCTCTTCCGCTGGCTTGAAATTCGGTGGTCAGTCCAAGGCTGAAAAGGAGGAGGCTGCCAAGCAGGTCAACCACATCTACGGACCTGAGGGTAATGGGATATTGTCTGGACCTATTACTGATGGTCAGGTCCTGGCGCTCTATGATGGCTTTGACTGCCCTCGTGGCTGGGAGGGTGGTATCATCAAATTTGAGCCCGCGCTTCCTACTCAGGCGTCTGGAAAGAAGCCTTTAAGTTGGGTTCTGGGATCAGACTGGAAGGTTCCCATTTCCGTCCAGGCCCCTATTGGCAAGCCAGCGTGGTTAGAGGGTGAAACTGACTTGTCTCTGGAGACCTCTGACTCTTTGCTAGTTGGCATTGATTCACTGTTGGAGAAGCTTCAGTTGCACCTTACTCACATGTCTTCAGTCCTCTTGACTGGTGGTCAGGGTTCCGGCAAGACATCTGTGGCACAGTCAGTTGCTCGCACTTTGCGGTCAACCCATCTTTATCACACCACCTACTTCCCGTGCACGAAACTTGTCAATGATGAGAGCAGGATATCCAACATCAAGGAAACCCTCAACCACCTCTTCATGGCAGCCAGCTGGGGTGCAAGACTCGGCGGAAAGGCAGTTGTTGTCTTGGATGACCTCGATAAGCTCTGCCCTTCGGAACAAGAACTCCAAGTCGGAAACGATAATGCCCGGAGCAGACAAGTCAGTGAAGCCATCTGCTCCATGGTCAAGCAATACTGCGGAAAAGATAGCAACGTCGTCTTGCTTGCCACCTGCCAAGGCAAAGACTCCCTTCACAATGTCATTGTTGGGGGTCACGTCGCACGTGAAATCGTCGACCTGAGCGCTCCTGACAAGGAAACCAGACGCCGCATCATGGAAGCTCTTACGAAGAAGGACGCGGTTCCCGCTGATGAGGTCACCGGCGAAATCGCCGACGGAGATCTCGACAGCCGTCCGCCTACCCGCGACGGCAGCACCACCGGGGGTGAAGACGGCGACGGCTGGATGGAGGGCTCCAACCAGCCCGCACCTAAGAAGGTCTCCAAAAAGCCCAGCGGATTCGTCCTCGACGCCGACCTCGACTTCCTCGACATCGCCGGCCAAACCGACGGCTACATGCCCGGTGATCTCATTCTGCTCATCTCCCGCGCCCGCAACGAAGCCCTCAGCCGCTGCGTGGGCGAATCTCTCGACAAGGACGTCTCCACGATCCCCCTCGCGCGCGCCGACTTTGACGCCGCCATCTCCGGCTTCACACCCACCTCGCTGCGCAACGTCACCCTGCAATCATCCAGCACCACCTTCGCTTCCATCGGCGGCCTCCAAGAAACCCGCCAAATCCTACTCGAAACTCTGGAGTACCCAACCAAATACGCGCCCATCTTTGCCCAATGCCCTCTCCGCCTGCGCTCCGGTCTGCTGTTATACGGCTACCCAGGCTGCGGCAAGACCCTGCTAGCGTCCGCCGTAGCAGGCGAATGCGGCCTCAACTTTATCTCCGTCAAAGGCCCCGAGATTCTAAACAAGTACATCGGCGCCTCAGAAAAATCAGTGCGTGACCTCTTCGAGCGCGCCTCTGCCGCTAAGCCGTGCGTTTTGTTCTTTGACGAGTTCGATTCCATTGCTCCCAAGCGTGGTCACGATTCTACCGGTGTGACGGATCGCGTGGTTAACCAGCTTTTGACGCAAATGGATGGTGCCGAGGGTCTGTCGGGTGTTTATGTTTTGGCAGCTACTTCCCGCCCTGACTTGATCGACCCTGCGCTGTTGAGACCTGGTCGTTTGGACAAGAGTCTACTATGCGATTTCCCTAACCTGGAAGATCGTCTTGATATTATCAAGGCTTTGACGCAGAAAGTTCGCGTCGCGGAGGAAGTCTGGTCTTCTGAGAAGGATCTGCTAGAGTTGGGCAAGAGAACGGATGGGTTCACTGGTGCGGATTTGCAGGCTTTGGTGTCGAATGCGCAACTTGAGGCAATTCATGATGCGTTGGCTGATATGGGCACTAGTATGGTTTCTCACTCACGTAAGGGTGTGGCATCGAAGGGCTCAGGAAGGAACGACTTTGTTCAGTTCCGCTATGGAGACGCCGACGGTGATGGCCAGGGCGATGGAACACTCGTCAAAGCCAGAACCAGAGCTGCTGAACTGGCGGAGAAGGCGGCTATTAGCGCCAAGTTGGAGACTTTGAAGATGATGCAGAAGAGGGCTGCTGCCGCTGCTAGGCAAGCTGCTGCTGCTCACGGTCAGACGAACGGCGCCGATAAGGGCGTCAATGCCACAACAGGCAAGGGGGGTAAGGACAATGCAGGCGCACTAAACAAAGAAGTGGTGGTCAACTGGAAGCATTTGTATAAAGCGCTGGAAGGAACCAGAGCGTCGATTAGTGTCAAGGAGAGGAAGAGGCTGGAGAAGATTTATCATGAGTTTGTGGTGGGACGGAGCGGCGAGATGAGGGATGGGCAGGGGAGTAATGAGATTGGGGGGAGGAGTAGTTTGATGTAGGTGTAGACTACTGTTGTTGTGGATGGGATGTGGGATGTGGATGGGAGTGAGAAGTGGGATGTGGGAGGTGGGAAGCAAGCAAGCAAGCCAGCGATTGGGAGATGGATGGTTGTGGTGAAGGGTTGATACTAGAGTTGGGAGTTGTTAGTTTTGGTTACCAGAAGAGCAAGCATGTAATAGTATAGATATAGAACAGAGTTGGAAAATAATGCAGGGTTAATAGTTGAGTTGAGAGTTGCGTTTCTTGGTCGGCGGTGATCTCGGTGACGTCTCCCGAGAGAGCCGCTTTGTTTACTTTGCCCTTCAGGGGTTCACACCACAAAGCCGTCAAGCGGCTCTCGGGAGTCGGGGATCATGGTCGGCGAGCGGCTATTGGCGTTTGTCAGCACACGTTTTCAGTGGATACAGCTGACACAGCTTCGGCCCTGGTTCCTGAAGGCCACCGTGGCACCGTGGCAGCCGGACCACGATCCCCTGTCTCGGCTCTGTGACAGCGGCTGCGGCGTGTCAGGTTGTTTCGGGGTTCGGGGCGGCTCAAAAGCGGCTCAGGAGATGCAGTGAAACGTCGACTTATTCAGCTTTAGTCAAGGTCTTGGACGGTGAACTAGAACTTGACATCTCACGAGACACTCTTGTAAGCCCTTGGTAGTTTAGCCCTTTAGCTTTCGCAGAACCATAGGTTTGACTGACATTACTGAGCAGATAGGACCGGTGCTAGCTGGATATCACTCACCTCCCTCCTCTTTCACCAACATCCCAAGTAACGTCGATCGAACAACAACCGCCGACACCTTCACGTCCACGGGTAATTGGGAGACAGCTCACCACCGAATACCTTCACCCTCACGATAAACCCAAACCCCAAAGGACCCCACGACAGTAAAAATGACCATAAAACCCATAACCACCCCCCTAGGCCAATCCCTCCCACCCTTCACTCCCCACGCAATCACCGCCCACCTGCCCGGCTGGGACACCGCCCTTCGCTTCCGCGATGGAGACCCCGAGATAGGCAGGCAGTTGAAGAGCATGTATCCGAGATTTTCTCCGCTGAGTTTGGTTAAGGAGGTATGTATTCTTTGAGTTCTGTTGTTTTTGGGTGTGGTTTGGTTGGGGGTTGGTTTTGGTTTGGATGGGGTTTAGTTATGGTCCTGGCGGAGGTTGGGTTGCTTTTGCTGTTGCGGTTCGGTTGGTTGTGGTGCTGGTTGGGGTTGTCGTTGCGCTTCTGCTTTACTTTCACTTGAACTTCTGCTTCCAGTTTCACATTCACCTTCACCTTTACTTCCACTTCCACTTCCACTTCCACTTCCGCTTCTTCTCTTTGATTTTCGCTATCCTCTTTCCGTTTCCATCCTCAATAGAGGTCGATTTCATCGTTTCAGGCACCCTAGCTAACAAACAACAGCTCTGCAACAACCTCCTCACCCACCTCGGCCCCGACATCTCCACCCAAACCCACGGCTGCCTCCCCTTCACCACTCCCGACGTCTTCCCCCTCGCCGCCACTTACTGCGTTTCTCACCACCGAGGAGCCGAACATCGCTTCACCGAAAGCGACACCTCCGCTCTCTTGTTCAGAGTGGTAGATTTCTTTAACGTCCCGCTTATCCCTGACGCCGATTCCAATTCCCCTGGTGGAGGTCTTACCGAGAAGGTCAGACTCTATCTGGTGATCTACCCCCTTGATAAAGCAAAGGGTATCAAAGGGATTTGGACGGATCCTGGTGTGGGGATTTCTACTCGTTTGGCCGAGGTGCTTTTGCCGTTAGTTGGCAACTCTGAGGATCCCGAGCAGGGCAGCCAGGAACAGTTCAAAGTTTTGGAATGGAGCGCTACAGCTTCTGATTTCCTCCCCGGATCTACCACCACCACCGGCCCTTTGACAGAGAAGGACGTCCCCCCACCTACTCATCTACCCGAGAGCTCTGCGCACGAAAAGCTGAGAGAAAGAATCGTCACCCTCTGCCAACGTCTCCCCCGCGACCCCGAAATCGCCAACAGACTTACACCGAACGACGTATTTCTGTATACCACAGGCATGGCGGCGGTTTTTCGCTTGCAGGAAGCCCTCTTTAAGATGGGCAGGAAGGGGCCCGTGGTGGCGTTGGGGGCGGTGTTTCATAGTACTTTTCATTTGTTTGAGGAACTTGAAGGTGAGGCCGAGCGCAGTGAGGACCTCAATGCCGAAAAGGGGACCGAGCCGAAGCCGACTGTTGGAGAAAGGACGGTAGAGGGAGGAGGACAAAAGGTGGAAGGAGCGAAGAAAGAAAAGGTTGAAGGCTTCAAACACTTCGGCAACTGCGAGGATTCCGACAAAGTGATGGATGAACTCGAGGAGTATTGCAAGGGACTGCGACAAAAGGGACAGAAGGTGGCGTATTTGTTTGTGGAGTTTCCGAGCAATCCGTTGCTTGTGAGCGTGGATTTGGGGCGGTTGAGGAAGATTGTGAGTATTTCTCCTGTGACCCCTTGTGTGGATGTGGTTGAGGTTGAGGTTGAGGTTGTACAAGAGGTGGGAAATAGTGAGGAAGAAGGGGAATGGGGTTGATGGATGATGGATGAAGGAAGGGACCCGGGCTGGGTGAAAGAGGATTAATGAGGAAGGGCGATGCTGACCAAGATGACTTGACAGGCCGATGAGTACGACTTCCCGGTTGTCATTGACGACACGGTCGGGTCATTCTGCAATATCGACGTCCTGCCCGTGGCGGATGTGGTGGTTACGTCTTTGACCAAGACGTTTAGCGGTTATGCGGATGTAAGTCTTCCCCTTTTTCCGTTTTCTGTTTTCCGTTTTCCCTTTCCCTTTCCAGACTTTACGCCTTTTCAGGTGTTGTCTACCTCTTCATTTATTATTTCTCTGCTCCCCTGTTGTCCCCTCCTTCCCTTCCCTTCCATCTCTTCTCTTTTCCCGTCCACACTCCCTCCCTCATTCCCCCTTCCCTCCTTTCCTTTTCTGCTCCAATCCTTCACCTCTCCCCTCCTTCTACCCCTACCCCTCATCTTCAAACAAGCGTACATACTAACTATTGGTAAAAGGTAATGGCCGGCTCCATCCTCCTCTCCCCCTCCTCTTCCTACCACACCCCCTTCCTCTCAACCCTCACCACCCTTCACAATAACACCCTCTCCCCCCCAGACGCGTCTCACCTCCTCGCCAACTCCACCTCTTACCTCACTCGCTCCGCCACGCACAACTCCAACGCCCAAAACCTCGCCTCCCTCCTCCACACCTATTCCAATCCCACCAGTCTCCAAAGGTGGTATCCCGCGTTCTCTACCCAGGATTCTTCCCCGCCGAATCCAACCCCTGCAAGAATTATTACAAGCAGTATATGCGCCTTGCGTCTCCCGCTCCTACCACCGCTATTACTTCCTCATCATCCCCGCCAACCCTCGTTACCGCCCTTGCAAAACTAGAAGGCAACGAATCCTTCACCCCCGGCTACGGCTGCCTCCTATCAATCGACTTCCCAACCAAGCGCATCGCGCAAGCCTTCTACGATAACTTGCACGTGCACCAGGGTCCGCACTTGGGAGCGCATTTGACTATTGCGTTGCCGTTTAACGATTTATTGTGGGGTGCGGAGGAAAAGGTTAAAAGTTATCATGAGGGCTATGGAGCCGTGGGGGAGCAGGTTAGGGTTAGTGTGGGATTGGAGAGGTGGGAGGAACTAAAAGAGGTTTTTGAGGAGGCGTTGGGGAAGGCGGAGGAGGTTGCTAAGGAGGAGCTTGCTGAGAGTGAGGCTTAGGTAAGGGGGCTTGATGGTGAAATGATGGGTAGGTATGGTAGGGCTGAATAGCTGAAAGGCCGAAAGGCTGGTTGGTGTCCGAAAGAGTTGAAAGTTGGAGGTTGAAAGGTTGAAGGACAAAGGAGAAAGGAGAAAGAATTAATAAACACAACACTTAAAGAATTGCCCAGAATAAACAAAAGATAGCTACCTCTCTTCCACCTAACCTAGTAGGTACCAAAAACGATGATATAGACCAGTTCCAAACAAGCAAATCAAAAAAAATAAAAAAATACAATGATGACCAAACAGTCTTCTACAACGTCCGTATGAATGCAATAATGTACCTAGATATATCAACTCCCGAACCGAAGTAACCTAGGCAATGTCAATCTGATAGTCTAATATCCAAGTTTCGTTCTCTTTCCCAATCCGATGCTGTTTCGTCCACTTCCACTTCTGCGCTTCCTCTCCGTATCATTCCCATTCTCTTCACTAATCCCATTCCCACCAAGCCGATGCTGACGCTGATGAGTCCTGCTACTGCTTCCGTGATCTTGAGTTCGAGTCTCCCAACTTGAGCTTCCGTAGGTTGACTGCCTCCTAGTTTCAGCCCCATAACCTCGAGAGGCACCGCACCTCGAATCTCTCACATCACCGGTTCCGGTCCCGTACTTCTTCGCCTTTCTTGCATGACTTAACTCCCTTCCGTATCTCGATTCCCTCCCTCTTTCCCTCCCACCATCCCCCTCTCTGCTGTAAGTTGAGGCCCTTTCCTTCCCCTTCCCTTTACTTGAACTTCTCATCCCCATCTTCCTCTCTCTTCCCCTCTCTTCCTTTTTAATAGCTCTCCGCCTAGCCATACCCTCCTCCCCCAGCTCCTCGAACGTTCGCAGATCTGCTAGAAATCGTCGAAGTCGTAATCCTGTTTTATGTCGAAACCATGCATCTAGATCTTCATCGGCTGAAGCGGCGCACATGATTTTCAGGCCCTTCAAGATGTCGGAGGCTGGGAGATGTCGGTCTGGGTGGTTTGAATGTCGCTGTGAATGTCGGTAAGAGTCTCTATAGCTCGTGCATGTGCGTGTGCTTGGAAGGTGATGATCAGAGGAATGGGAGTGAAATAAGCCAGAAAGTGGTGGGCGGGTTTGGCGGCGGGTTGGTGGTCGTTGGTGTTGTTGTTGGGAGGGGGGACGTTGGTTGGGGATTCGGTGGGTAGAACCTCGTTGACCGGAACCTCGCTGGTTGGAGATGAAGCTAGACCTTTTGCTAACGCGGAACTGTGCCTGAGATTGATGAGCAAGGTCAGAACGGGAATGTCGACGGCTGCTTTCCGGCCTGGAAGGAGGGAGTGGAAAGGCAGCAGGATTCGGACTCAGTCCTGATTCGGGGCGGGTAATCCTCAGCGGCGCATGACCACCAGAACCACCAGCAGCAACCTCCGGCATATGCCTCGCCGTAGCCAATGGAACTGCCGGTACTGAAGAAACCGATGGACCAGGTGAACAATGAACTTCAATAGAAGCCAACACCGACCCCGGTCTGGGAGGTGAAGGTGGAGCCCTCGACGGAACCCTGGGCCTGGGGATGATAACAACCGTTGCTTCTTCGACTGTCGGCGTTGGCGATGCCGTCATACCTCTCACTTCCTGACCCTCTTCCCTTTCCACTGTGCCCATACTGGCCAGAGAAGACCGCATGTCATCCTCCCTTTTCACTAGGGCTGTGCATGTGCTGGCTGGAGAAGACGGCTTCGATCGTGGACTGTGATCATCACCCACTGCCACTGCCACAGCAGCACCAAACATCTTCTCCTTCCTCAAAGCCTTAGCCATTCGTAACTTCTGCGACGGAGACGGCACAGTCTTGCTGCTCGTCGACCGTTTGTGTTGATATTTCCCTTTACCCGTTCCTTTCGACCTGGACGTTGGCGAAGTCTTGAAATTGACAGTGCCAGGATTAGCCACAACAGTCTCCCTCATGGCTTGCAACCGTCGCACTGCTTCGTCGAGAGCTTTCTCTAGCGATGAAGGTGTGCCTGTTCTAGTTCTGACACTCCCCGGCAGTTCCATGCTTGAAACAACACTCTTCGGTAGCTCAATACTGGAAACAACGCTAGGATGGGGTGTCTTGGTCGTGATAACAGTGACCTCGCTAACGCTATTTTGTCTTGTGTTTCGTATCTGTAAAGGTAACTGCCCGTAGCTCTTTGCTGGTTGGACAATGGCGGCCGTTTCGTAACTGGTCGCGGATAGGATGCTGGAGGTAGGGGTTGGTTGATGACGCTTCTTGGGCTGTTGCCGTTGTTCTTGTTGTTTATCAAGCGACGGCTCCCTTTGTTCAACAATGGTAGGCGGAAACTGCCCCTGGCGCATGGCTGCGCTCCAACTGGAGTTTCGCGAGGGACCACTGCCGTGTCGGACTAAGACTTGAGAGAAGACGCGCGGCAAGGCGGGGAGGGTTTTATCGGAGTTTGGAATGCCTTCGGGGTTTGGTGCAGGTGATGGTTGGGCTGTTGGTATGATGTTTTCTTTCTCTTCATCGTGCATAGAGCATGGCGTTTGTCTGTCCGACTGGTGACCTGGGGATGATAGGCCCTTTGATACGGATTCCGGCTTTGTCGACAATGGTGACGACGCGTTGGAAAGCTTATCCTCCCCACTCTTCAGTGGTATCTGTTCAACATTGATAGGAGAGGGAGAGTCATCTTTCTTAACCTCAGTGACGATCTCATTGGTCTCGGTTCCTCCGTCTAGTCTTAGCCATTCACTTCCACTTGAAGGTGACATCTTTCCAAGCAAAGGGGCAAGTTTGCCTCGCCTGTGAAATGCCTTTTGCTCCTTCGATGTCACCGCAAGACCGGCAGCCCGGAACTGGTCTTGGTATGGGAGCAGCTCTTTCACTGTGCGGATGGATTTTTGCGTCTCACCAATAGCGGGAGGGGGATGTGGAAGCTTGCTTGCACCACTTACCGGCTGTGCCTCTTCGAGCTCGATTGGTCTGTTCGATACTTTTCGATGGTTGCAGAAGCGGGACACGATATGACGGTTTTTGCTGGCGCGGTCTTTACCACCAGGAGAACCTTTCTTGTTAGGCTTGAGCTGTCTGTTAGTGGAACCCCATGTTTCAGGAGGAACCCATGCCTCAGTATGCATCGGTATCTTCCGCGTCTGCAATGCTCCCGGCCTGACAGGTGATGGTCTTGCAACGGCTTTTCCTCTCGAAGTTGGTGTACCTGGATTTGGTCTCGGCCTCGGCATTGGTGCACTCGGGCCTTTCGGAAGAGGTGGAAGGGGTCGTAACTTGATGACGGATCGCCTATCTCTGCTGAAGTATAATGATGGCTCTTCGCCTGGCTGGTTGGGGACCTTTGGCGGTGATTTGACAGGTGATCGTGAAAGTTCTCCCCAGTATGCTCCAGGTGGTTTCTCTGCATCTTTCTTCGACGGGCTGCCCAAGCAACACTGGTCTTCCTGTGAAGAGGAGGCATCAGATGGACCAAACTTGGGATATGAACCGCGGCTCTTTTTCTTGGGTAGCTGTCTCGGTCCCCCTCCTTTGTAGTTGATATCCTGCCATATCCCCGGTATAGCACCGCCATTCGCACCGCGCTTCGGAGGACTCGGCTGCTGCTTTCGCTGACTTGACGACCTCTTCCTGGCAGACCCCGAAAGACGATTCTGACTCCCGTTGGAGTGAACGAACGAGACGCGGACTTTGGTGGCATGTCGCTTGGCCTGAGCCCGACGAAGTTTCTGGAGGGATAGACTGAGAGGTTTGCGAAAGACTTCCTCGGCTGCGCGACGGGCGATACTGGGACTGCGGGAGGGAGAGGCGGTGTTGATCTTTGGCCGACGGTGCGGACTTCCTTTCTAAGCTAAGTTGTATGCAGGCATTGTCGGGCCATTCTAATCCAAGAGGGATCCAAGAGGGGTTGTTTCAAGGGGACAGATCCAAGAGAGGATGTTCCATAAGAGACGGATCCAAGAGTGTTTATTGCAAAAGCCGTTGGTGTAGGTCTGCTGGAAATGACTGACAGATTATGTGCGGATGTTGTTGTTGGACTGAGAGATGGGGGAACACGGAGACAGCCAGGAGATTGCATCAAGACGGGAGCTGTGGACGGAAGGCACCACAGCTACTTGAACCATAGAGGGAAGGAGGAAAGAACTTGGATTAAATAAGATGCCGCCAGCGGTAAACGGAAGAAGGAGTGATGAATGCTGAGATGAAGCTTCCCTATCTGATATCCTTGACTCCGGGCGAGGCATACGTTTCCAGTTGGCGCGACCCCTTGCGCAAGAGGAACTCGATAGCCGAGAAGTCTCTCTTGTCAACCTTGATGTTTTTTTCAAACTCGGTCCTGCATTCTAATCAGCATTGTGCCTTGAGAAGAAAAGTATCTGATCTCACTCACCTAGCAAAGGCCTTGAAGTGATCCCGAGTGGCCTCCGGCTTTTTGCGGCATTCACGCAGACATTTCCGGTAGAGTCCGAGGACCTCCTTTTGCAGACCAGACAAGCGGGCCATAATGATGCTGTTGACTGTGTTAGTATGTAGAGTTGAAGACTGAGCTGGTTAGGAGGTGGTGTTACAGTTGAGATGTGTAGACTACTGGTTAGGAGGTGGTGATGATGTCGAAAATTGTTATGACGCAAGACATCGGATTGGCGGAGCGCTCGGCATCCATCGTCAAATTAATTGTTAGTGCTACGGGAATGCTGTCACCAATTGGAGACCTCGGCAGAGCTTACCCCGGGCGGCCGAGCGCTAACAATGGGGGTTCCCGCACACCGGGATATCTTTTGTTTACAGTGGGAGTATCCCTGGAACGCTCCCGTTAGGACATTGAAATCTGAACATGTCGTTGCCTTATATCCGCTTTACCGGAAGCAAAGTACACACTTCCGTTTCACCATGTCATCGACGTCCTCTTACATGCCGTTTAGGCGGTCATGTGGGGTAACCACTAACAGACAACAGCTACCTAGCCGTGAGCCGGGTGAAGTACCGCTTGCTCCGCTGCCCAGCGCCCGCTGCCCGCAGATCGCCCACTGCAACATCCACTCCGAGTCCGGGGCACGGCGGAGGAAACATGAACGCCTTATCTGCATTATAAATGCCGTCATCGTCACTTCTCAGTCCCTCACTGAGTCCTGATCCTTTCTTCTCACTCACCACCATACAGTCACACTCACATATCATTCAAAATGGCCTCCAAGTCCTTCACTGTACGTAAACCACCCTCAACCCAATCACTTCACAATGCCACTAACACCACCACCACCAGCGTCTCATCCGCTTCCTCGCCCGTGACGGCAAAACCTACTACGGCGACGCCCTCCTCCCCTCTGGCACATCCGACATCCGCGCCGCCAAACAAGCCCGCCTTATTCAAGGTGACATCTTCGGCACCCACAGCGTAACCGACACCGTCGAGGACATCCGCCTCCTGCTCTCCCCCTTGGCACCAGAAGACGTCCGCACCGTCCGCTGCTTGGGTCTCAACTACGAGCAACACGCCCACGAATCCAACATGCCCATCCCCACCTACCCCATCCTCTTCTACAAGCCCGTCACCTCCCTATCCGGCCCCACGGACCCGATCCCCATCTCGCGCCTCGCGCAGGAGGGCGAAGGCCTCGATTACGAGTGCGAACTCGTCACTGTCATCGGGAAGCGGTGTCGCGAGGTTAGCGAAGACAAGGCGTTGGATTATGTCCTTGGCTACGCGGTTGGTAATGATGTCTCTCATCGCGATTGGCAGATTAAGCGCGGCGGAGGCCAGTGGAGCTTGGGTAAAGGGTTTGATGGATGGGCGCCCTTTGGGCCAGGCATTGTTAGCAAGGAGTTGATTCAGGATCCGCAGACGCTCAAGATTTCGACCAAGTTGAACGGGAAGACGGTGCAGGAGAGCAGTACCGCTGATATGATCTTCAGCGTTAAGAAGACGATTGCGTTCCTCAGCCAGGGAACAACGTTGTTGCCTGGTGATGTTATCTTTACTGGGACGTGAGTATTGCCTCCCTGGGGGACTTTGAGCGGTGGTAAATGATTGCTGATTGCTGAAATATAACGAAATAGTCCCCAAGGTGTCGGCATGGGCCGCAAGCCCCAGCTTTGGCTCAAGAACGGTGATGTTGTCGAGGTGGATCTGGAGAAGGTCGGTAGTTGCAAAAACAAGGTCGAGTTTGAGGCTTCTGGACCTGCTTCTAAGCTCTAAACAGCGCTGGATGGGAACAAGAATTGAATATAAAACAGCGAATAATAATCACGAGGCATTGTGCACACTCAAACAGGCAAACAGTACAACTAACAAGACGTCACAATCACTTATTCCATTCACGATTGATACTCTTCGGCATGTCTTTTCACGCATACCCCATTTGTTTTCATTCTCGGCTGTTTGTATCTGTCGTTTACACCTAAGCATCCACTCCAAGCCGTGATCTAGTCCTTTCTTTCACCAAGCACCACACCTTCATCACCCTTATTGCTATCTTTCCAAGTGATCTTGCAATCAGCCAGCCGGATGACTCGGGCGAGTTGGGAACAATAAACGCAGGGCTTAAAGCATGCGCCGGGTGTGTCTGGCAGCATTTTCAACCGATTTCTTTACAACAACATCCTCCATTATATTTCTCACCATCCCAATTCTGCATCCATGGGATGTCCGTCCGCAGGATAACCGCTGACCCGTACCAAGAGCTCTTCAACCAATGTCCCCCCCAAACGGACTCCCTGTCCAGCACCCAAGAGTTTACCATTTTGCTGAGCGAGTGGCAAGATTCTGAGCAAGCACTTTGGAGATCAAAGAGGAGAAACACAAGACAGTACCTAAACAGGGAGAAAAGATGCAGAAAGTTCAAATAGGAGGATGCACATCGTTAGAAGAGTGATACTTTCTAGGAGCAAGCAAGGTGGTGGATGATTGGAAAAAAAAAAAAAAAAAAAAAAAACCTAACAGAGGAGTACCCCAGGAAGCTATCTCTAGGTACCTAGTAAGTTAGTTTTCAACATATTTGCCATTGCTGTGCCCATCCTTACGCCAGCGAATATTTGCATCTCTTTGCTATCCCACGCACGCACGATTGACGTTCAACCAAGAATCAGAGACGGTAAAGCTTTCTGCGTTTATCAACCTTTGCAGAAACGATGACGGCTTTTGGCGGCTTTTGTCCTGCATTTCTGGCTCGCTGCTCGCAACCACTTCCTCCAATGCTGCCGGCCAATTCTTCAAGTCCCGAACCATAGTACATTACGCATATAAAGAACGGCACCTAATGTAGGTATCCAGAATCGTAAACAACCCAAAGCCATTTCAAACTTCTCCTCGCACCACACCAAGCCTGCATTCGCCGGTTTGCAACTCAAACCTCCTCGAACCCCAATCAGCCTACATTCGCCGGTTTGCATTCCCGTCGTTCGTCATGCCAGCCAAGCCCAATCACAAACAATGCCCATCCTCAGGGTGAAAACCCCTTCTCTTCCCCTTAGCCACCTCGGCCCAGCTACCGTAGACACGGTACGGTGCTGGCTGAGTTATGAGGGGCAGGCGAGCGAGGCTTTCGTCGACGCTCTGGGAGGAGACACCGGCGTGAATGGCAAAAGGTAAAAGAGGGAGAGGCTTGACGCTTCCGAGCAGCTCCTCGAACTTAAGGGAGCTTGGGGCTGGTTGTAAGCCTGTGGCTGATATTGATTCTGGCTCCGAGTAGGTAATGGAAGGCAGATACGATTCAAACTGATTCTGAGGTTGAGGTTCTGAAGCAGCCCGGGCCATTGCCAGTTTTCCTCCAGATCGATGATATGCTGGAGCAAGTCATCTAAACTTTCTCGGTCCATGTGGGGAATTTAGGTTCCTGTGCCTGTGGTAGCCCCCCAGTCGTACAAAAGACACCCAAAGACCACACAATGATAAGAAGGACGGTCCAGTACGTTCACCCACGAATCGCGAGGCTTCGGCCAAGGGCCAGGCCCGGCCGGTACTTTTTGAGAGACGGAAGAATGGCCGCTGGTTGTTGAACTCCTCAGCCCCTTCATTCAGTTCACCGGAAACGGTAAAGTGCTTGTTTAGGTAGGTGGCCTCCCTCCAGTCGCAGCCCGCGCTCTTCTTGTTTTGGGCATTGCAACCCTGAGATATTTCCACTGCCAGAAGTTTCGGAAAAAGAAGAAAATCGGTAAGACATGAGTAGTAGCCGTCGTAGTCGGGGCAGAGAAATGAGTAAGGTAGTCGCTTGGGTAATGGAGGCCGGCGATGAATTGTTGGGCAAAGTAGTTGCCGGAAGAAAAGGGTCTCTCTCGGATGGGCCTTCATCTTCCCTCCAGGAGAATGACGAGGTGGCCGAATCGACGTAAGACTGGTCGAAGCACATGAATGCGGCTTTCTGAGCGGGACACAGATTGGGTTTCGTGATGGCTGGAATGGTCCCGCCACATGGAATTCGATCAATGCACCCGTTTCTGATTTCGATGATGCCAAGTCGGACACGGAAGCCTTGCAGGAGGACATCCGAACGCTCAAGTGCCACGCGCGTGGGTTCAGAGATGGGGAGACGGCTGGGCATGGTGGTCGCTGGGTGTGATGGAACTGGAAGTCATCAAGTGTTGGCCGCAACATGTATGATGGGTAGTCATGTGTTTGTGATAGAAGCCCTGGTGCAATTGGCGGCGGGCATATGGGTCGAAGATCGAGGAAAGCATGGTCAAATTATCTTTGCCGTGGCTGTGGTCTTGCTGCAGCTTGGTGGCCTTTCATCGGAAAGGTTCAGATGGTTTGTTGAATGAATGGCTTGTACAGCGAAGAGTCAACAGTGTCGTGAGCCTTTGACCACGCAGTGGTAAATAAATGTTCATTTGAGCGGAGTTGGAGGTGTCATGCTGCACACAGGCGGCTTGTTAGAATTGGTCCGCCATCTTTGGAAGAAGGAGGTGGTCGAACTTACAAGTCACGCTCGTGGTCGAGAGTGATGACTTGGGAGTGGAAAGGAAGGATGCAATCGAATGTCCCTAATGGTGTCCCAATTGCTGGCATCGTTGTGAAACTTCGTTCGGAAGACTCCATTCGGACGGTCGATGTGGAAGAGCGTTCGGGTTGGATGCAGGCATGCGAAACGAGGACAATGCATCATCAAAAACGCCGGCGAGCGGCCCAAGGCTGGACATATTTACGTCGCAAAGAGAGCCAAAGAAAAATAAGGCTGAAGTCATTACAAAGAAGTCTATAATGTGCCAGATGTTGAAAAGGCACTGTTGGAGAAGAAAAGGACTTTGAGAAGTGTGCTGCTGATGATGGAGAGAGGAGGAAGATAAAGAAGAGGGGAAAAGGGCGAGGGGAGGACGATGTTAAATACTTTTCTGGACAGCTCCCGGATCAGCCACGGTGTCAATACAACGGGCAGGTGGCCTGTTGTTGTCTGATAGACGATTATGGATGATCAATGATCAATGCCCGATCGAATGATAGGATATCAGCAAGGAAGGTAGACTCCGTTTCGACTGCTTGAGAATCCCAGAACTCCGTAAAGTGCCTATATCGAACGAAAGAGGTTGGTTTACTTCCCCGTTTTGCTGGCCGAGAAGGTGTGGAATTTTCAGCAGCTTCGGAGGAGTGTCTATAGCTTCCTACGCATTTAGACCTAAAGACGATAAAAGAAATGGTCAGTAACCAATGGTGAAAGACCGACGCAATGGAGAAGGAAATATCACGAAGTATGGGCAGGGCAGGTTTGTGAGTACCTAGGTAAGGCCTCGGTCTACTCTGTCGAGGCTGTTTTGAGGCGTGTGTGTTGAGTGTCCCTGGTCGCGGTGCTCCGGAAGTAGAAGTACTTGCAAAAAAGGGGTTTGTTTACTTCACATAATCCCATTTCACCTTTACTCGACGTGCACAAACCGGCAGTGTCGATTCGAAAGTTATAGACATGGTCAACACTCAGTCACTGATTCGTCCTCCGAAATCAGTCTCTTTTCTTTGCTCTTCTGCATGTGATCTCAGTGCACCATTCTGGGTGCCAAGTGTGTCCCGCCGCTCCGTCATGACTCCATGACAGTACCTGCCTGGCTGAGGAACGATCGATGTGTTCCTCGGGTGTTCACCTTCTCTTTTCGAGTCTGTAATCCGGATTTCATCTGCAATGGAATGGTCAGCCACGAAGGTTCAATCAAGGTCCCAATATCTATCGTTGGGAAGCTGATCAATGACCACACGCAAGGAAGACTTACAGAAGCTACCTAGTAAGTAGGGCTCTCCTTGCCAGAAACAGGCGTTATGGAACACTCGTTAGCATTCGGATAAGCACGGAACAAACCTCAACTCCACAAATGGAGGTTTACACCCAAAGCATGGTGTTTTGCTGGTAACGTATCATCGGTAGAGCTAGGAAAAGGTATCAATAACACAAGTTCTTCTTCCAACTTCCGTCTGCGCTTTTCGCTTTCTCGTAGAGTGAAAATGACACCCACTCACACTCACACCCACACAAACACGCACATCAAATCACCACACAAGTTGTATGTACCAGATCAATCGTACCCAAAAATCATAAAAAATTCATGCTCGCTTCCATCATCGTAATCCTGTTCGCTAGCTACTTACAGCCTGAAGCAAATCATGCCCATGCCTGTCGTTGAACTTTCTCAGCCTCGCCAGTCTCGCCAGTCTCGCTAACCTCTTCCACCTCATCTCACTACTCCACTCTGAACCACCAGTTGTAGTCGTCTCCAACGACACAACACATCTTTGGTCACCATATCCCGCTGCTCAAGCAATACATGATACGCAACGAAATAGCTACTTGACCATGTAACTATGCCGTAGCAAAAACGTATGTATAGCAATTGTGAAATGTTGTGGTTGGGTGAGCAATATCAGTTAGCACCAGTGAAGCACCAATCCGTAGGAGCCTATCATCCTCAGCTAGTCGTCCTCAGCCAGTCAGCCAGCTAGTTACCCCCTACCTCTCTCACTCTCCTCACTCTTTTCCCCTATCCCCTAACTCTGATGCATAACTCCATTTCACTCCCCCCTCCTCCTCCTCCTCCTCTCCCGCAGGGGCACGGTTAGCTCCCGCTTCCACAAACCCCCACACAGAAAGCGGGTAACGACCAAGCCACCCTCCATGCCACGTATCAAGCCCCTGAAGCCCTTCAAACCACTAACTTATCCGGATCATTCTGATTGTCCCATCAGGAAGCGAAGTGAAACCCCCCGAACGAATCGGACGTCTCGGGAGAACAGGGTCTTCAACAAGAGGAGGACGACCGGCAATCATCTTCTAATTGACGAGCACGCCGCATACAAGACACTTGATGGGTTCCGTCCACGTTTTGGCCCCGCCCTCCGCCAAGACGTCAGCCCGGAGGTCGGTGAACTCGAGGTAAGGCTGGCCATTCATTTCGAGCGTGACGGAAAATAGACCCTCCCATGGCCTATCCTTGTTAGTGACCTTGCTTCCGGGAGGGCTAGCGACTTTTTGCGGAGTCGGCCGGGTTTCCGCCCTCCTTCCGTTTTTATCGTTGGTGTTGCCGTTGCCGTGGATCCTGGTGCTGATGTCGGGGCGGGAGTTGTGGACTTCGATGCCCCTGCCTTGGCGCTGGGCGTCCTCGTCCTCCTAGAACGAAGTGCTATCCCTGAGGCGGTCGAGACGTCGGCTTCGGCTTCGGGGGTGTCTTCGGGCGCCGGTTTGGCGTCTTCACTGCCGGCCTTAAGAGCGCGATTGCCGTTGGTGCCTCCGTTAGTCTGAGAGGCGTCCTTCTCGGCTTTAACGTCCACGGACTCCTCTTGTTTGGCGTCACCGTTCGGTTCCACCTTGGCATCTTGCTTGTCGTCGGCCTCCTCCTCCTTCTCCACCTTCTCCACCTTCTCCTCCTTCACCAGGACGTGAGGCTTGTCGGTACCAAGTCGTTCAAACGTCGCTCGAAGGGCTTGGTCCTTGATGCACTCTTCGTGCAACCACTTCTTACATGACTCAGAAGAGCATCCGACTAGCAGTTTGTCAGGGTTAGCTGGGGTGTTGCAGCCGCATACAAGCTCGACGGTCTGTCAAAAACTTCACGTTAGCATCTTGGCTTGGTGTGGATGGAGTAAACGGGATTACATACCGAAAGCTCCTGAGATCTTATGTCATAAGCTTGTCGCCAGTACAGACTATCCTGCGTCTCCTCATCGTTCTCCTCGAACCAGTGTTTCACAATCGCGGGCTCTGTAACGCTGACCACATTGATGATATCCACTGCCATCTCATGTTAGCACACGTACAATCTCCAACCTCACCCTGCAACCACTCAGAGTCTACTCACTGTGATTAGACGCCACCAGTTCGCCCTGCCCATGGTACGGTTGTCTCCCCTGCACAATCCTTTTCCTGTCGCGCGTCTTGGCCGGCAGCTCGTCAGGCCAGTACATCCAATAAACTCTGGCAAAGACATGGTGCTCGTCCCGGGCGCGGATTTCGAGAATCCTGGCGACCCACTCGGTATCCCGTCTTGTTATCGGCGCGGCGGCCGCCTCGTCGTTCCCCTCTTGTGGTTTTGGCTCCTTCTTCTTTATGCTCAGATCATTGGCGACATAGATGAAGTTTTCAGCGTAGTATTTAACGTTATTCACTAGTGGTAACAACAGAAATTGAAAGTTAGTAAAACCTGACGGCTTCCAGTGAAGTGAAGTGGAACTGAAAAGGGGGAGAGAGAGAGAAGAGAGAAACTCACACACAAAACTGTTATACCTCGTCATGTCGGTCCAATCCTTGGCGGGCTCGACCTTGTAGTTTACATCCAGATTCGGGTACGTCCTGAACTTGCCCGACGGATGGAAGGGAGACTGCTGAAAGTTGAGCTTGTCCGCTGGGTCTGCGTCCTCGTCGTCAACTGACTCCGCTTTGCCTCCCGCAGTGCGTCTGCGCTTGTTGTTATTGTTCTTCTTCTTCTTGTCTGCCACCACGGGGTCGACGATAACTCGGAATGGGCATTCGGCTCGGGTGTTATCCTTATCCTCCTTCCGTTCCTGCACTCGATCCTGACGGTCGGCATCGGACGCCCTTGGTCTCTTGCGAGAGGAGGCCATTGTTGGCGCAAGGTGTGAAGTGTCGTTGAGCCAAAGGTTTGATAAGCTAGGGCGCTGCGCTTTGGAAGGTTCCCGACGTCGTCACCCGTCGGGAATTCGTGGCGTGAAGGTTGGTGATGGCCTGCGACGAGATCGCGAATATGCGACAGAAGAGAAAAGGGGGTGGGGTCGCGTAGAGAATGGGTGGATTAAAAGTGCGCCTCAGGTCCTGCTATGTAGAGACAGCAAGTTTGATGTTGTTGAGGTTTCAAATTGGGCGACGGCAACGACGATGAGAGCGGCCTGAACCTTGTTAAAAGGTGCTGAGGTGACGTGGTTGGCTTCGGGTTGTGTCGTGCAAAAAGAGAACGCGGGCGCAGGCGCGAACAAAGGGTTGCTGGGTCAAGGTTCGAGCTCCTGCAAGGTTCGATGCAAAGAAAAAAGTGGGTGTGAACCTTGGAGAACCTGAAGTACTTTGTACTTGTAGAAGGCGTGTGTTATGTTGTGACTTGTCCGTGACTCAGTCAGCATGCGCGATGGGCGACGGCAAGTGAATGGTTGTGGTGCTGGTGGCTCGGAGAATGCGATTGAGAAAGAATCCGAGACCGCGACTGTGTCTTGGTTGAGCTTTTGGATGACGAGTAGGAATGGGGAAAAGGTCTGGAACTTTGACAAGGGGGTGGGCGAAAAAAAAAAGAAAAAAAAATATCAAAAAGCTGGGGAAGTCAACTTTGCGTCAATTGACCCACACGAGATCTTGGAACAATGGTTAGATAGATATCCGACCAAGTCTCTGAATAGGGTTCACAATAAGATGCAATGCCCAACAGACGCGACCGCAGGGCCAATGTACAATGCGAGGGCTCTATTGTCGTGAAGACCGTCCGTCTCTTTTTATGAACTTCACCTCCGCATCGCATTGGGAAAAAACCGTTGCGCCCAGCCACGTGATTCAGCTAGATCGATGACCATATGCCGCTAAGGTGAGCTTCAAAGAGGAGAACATGGCGAGCTTCTGAGAACCCTATTGGTGGATTGTCACGATAAGCGGGTAATGGTCCCAGCTTCCTCGCTTGACAGAACGATTGTGCCATTTTGCCCACGATTGGCTGGTGTTGACGTTGTTTGGTTTGGGTCAGTCTTTGCCGCCATTCCCACAAACTTGGCTGACGACTTTGACAACATGAGGAGACGCGGTGGACAACGACTCACAACCAAAAGCAAACTAATCCAAACCAAATCGCAGATTCCCATAACCACAGTGAAGAGTACAAATACAGAAAGGAGACAACATCGTCAACCCCTACGAGACAAGCCAACGCCAGCGCTATGCATATAGCAACCCAAAGGTAACCATCAGATAATCCGTCATACCCATCAAAATCCCCAACATAGCCATGTCATCACATACCCATCTTCATATCCCAGCCATAGTCATCAAGTACCATCATAACAAATCACTCATCATCTTCATCATCATACCTCCCCAAAATCGCCCTACTAGCATCACTCCCCCTCCTCTCATCCGCCAACCCATCCCCGTTGAACCCATTTCCACTCCCATTCAGTCCAGTCTGCTTGAATCCCTCAATAACTTCCGCCAAAGCCTCACCCTCCGTCCTTCCCCTCTCCACATTGATGAACCAGATAAACAGCGCCGGCGTGCCCACGATGGCGGCCAAGAACCAGAACGCCGGTCTGATTTCTCCAGACGCATCAATAATCGCGCCCACAATCGCCGGTCCAAACACGCTTGACCCTTTATCGGTGATAGCATAAAGAGCATAGAAAGCAGCCTCGGATCCGGGAGGGATGAGCTCGCCGTACAAAGAGCGGCAGTAGCCTGACAATCCGCCGAGGACGAATCCGTAGATGGCGGCCAGGGGGTACATCTCCCATGGTTGTTGCAAGCCGCCGACGCCCCAGGCTTGGACAAAGGGGAGGTAGCCCATTAGGCCGTACAAAGGGATGAGTTCGAACAGGGCGATGCAAGCCAGAATGGTCTGGTGGGCTTTGAGCCGGAATTTTCGGGAGATGAAGGACCAGGAAAAAGCGCCAATGATGCCTGAGGCAGTAGAGATGACGTTGATCATGCCCAACGCCCAGGGTTCCATGTGCAGTTGGGTTTTGGCGAACAGGATGGCGGTCGAAGAGGTAGTGGCAATGGCGTCCGAAAGAAGGAACCAGCCGGCGAGGAAGAGGACAATGTCTACTAGCCGCCGGGCGAGCTGGACGGTGCGGAAGAGGGACTTCCAGGCGTAGATGGTGTAGTGAAACAAGGCCCGAATGCCGCCGGAGTTGGACTTGGTAGGCAAAGGGGGTCCGGGGCGAGGTCGTAACCACATGGCAGCTGGGATGGTGAAGATGGCCCACCATGCGCCGATGACACAAAGAACGATCCGCTGCGACCAAGTGGTATTCTTCAGGACGATCAGGATGCCGATGGCGACGCACTGCAGGAACAAACCGGCGATGTAACCGATACCGATACCCTTGGCCGAGATCTGCGTAGATAATTCCAGTTCGCGTGAGGTCAGCTCCTCAGTCGTCTGGACTCGAGAGAGCGGTTCGCCCTCATCGTACGTTCGACTCCCAAGCAAGGCAGTCGTCGAGTTGCGCATGCTGTCCTCCCTGTATTCATCATCCTCATCGTCGCCATCTTCGGTAGTCGCGTACCCTGGCGAGCCATAATCTCCAGCATGACTGATCTCGGGATGATGTCTGACCAAAAGCGCAAGAACGAGTTCAGCAACACAAAGGATGCGCCGAACGAGGTATTCGAAACGATGGCCAGCAGCGCGCCAATGAGGTAGGTGTCCTTGCTGATGAAAATGTAGGCCATAACAGAAATGCTTCCAATCCACGCAAAGGCCAGCAGAAGCTTCTTCCGAAAGTTGCCATGGTCCGCCGCGCAACTTATGCTGACGACCAACAAGGCCTGCAGCAGGACGCTGACGCTGAAGGTGTACATGGCGAAGCTCGCCGTGTTAATTTCCATGCCCAATACGTAGACGACGCATTGTCCTTCGGCGGCGGTCGCATGCTTATCGGAGCTGGAACCGCATGGTTTCGATCGGTCGGAGAGGAGGACGCCATTTTCGCGGGCTAAACTTTCTAGGAGAATTGGGATGAAAGAACCTGTGACGGGTTGCGTGTAAGTCGGGTAGTTCGGACGAATTGTTAGTTTAGGCTGTAAGTGCAAGATAACATACCGATACCTGTGCAGGTACGCCAGTCAGCTTTATGACCAAACAGAAGATGGAATTGATGATGATAATACTAACCGCAAATAACATAGACCTCAGCAGCGAAGGCATAGGCATACCATCCCGCGAGTTCCTTCTGGCTAGTGGGGCGAGTGTCGTCACCGGGGTATCGTGCGGGAGGCAAGTCGCTCTCTCTGTCAGTGTCGTCGTAGTCGTATAGGTAATCGCTGTTATGGTCGCCAGGACCATTGTCGCCGGCGTTGGCAGGACTGATCCTGCCGGACATGGTGGTGGTGATCCAGTCGACTAACGAGGTGGTATCGGATCGTTCGTCGTCGGCTTCGAAGCAGGAAGTTGTGTGAGAGAAGAAGGATCGTTTGGAGGTTCTGGAGGCCTTGGACGCGTAGGATGCGTAGGATGAACGGGAGAAGAGACGCGGAGCTGGTGGCGGTCGGAGAGATTCGATCCAGTCTGCCGCTTCATTGTTGTATGCGGATGAGACGTGGTCCACGTTATGCGGCGGTGTCATTGTGCCCACTGTACGCCAGCCCCGTTGCAGGGCATTGATAGGCGTCACTCCAGTGGATTCCCAACGCGGGCCAAGGTCGCACTGAGCAATCAAGGTTCTCGCTTCGCCCGAGTCGGCAGGCGGTGTGGATCCCCCCGCTCTAGGTACGACTGCAGCTCTGCAGGTACCGCTGCCTGCCAGAAGTAACCCGATTAACACAGCAAAAACAACCCTCTGTCCAGGAATCTGGGATGTTTACGACCGAACGGCAGAAACAATCTGTCTCTTCTGGACCTCTCAGTTCTTCGGTTGAGGCCCGTCTTCTCAGGTCCACTTTCCTTCTCGTTCGTACCCCACTCGCTGGTTGAGATCCAAGATGTCGACTGACTGAAAGAAAGCGGGGGGCGGTTAAAGTCCGAGCTCTGTTCAGGTATTGAATCGAAAACGGGCGTTTCGGAGGACAAGGAAGTTGATAATTGATGGCGGTAGTCGACTGGTTAAGGTGGGTTTTCTGTCTCTTGTGTACTTGAAGTAGAAAATCTGTAGAAGGTCCGGGGGTCAGGAAGTCCAGATGAAAGGGTTGATAAGAATTTCCAAAGGTCAACAACAAACTGAAAGTCCAAAATGGCAACGCAGTCTCGCTTCCTGCTTTGATCGAGCGTGGTTTGGTTTTGTTGGCACTACACAGTAAGGTAGGGCACTTCAAGGGCGCGAAAGCTGGAGGGTTGGTTGATCACCCACTCACATTCTCCTCTCAAACAAGAAATTGCAAGAGACTAAAACACGGATTCAAGACATTTCTCACAACAAAAAGGGTGGGCGTCGCCAGGTTTTATGAACTTTGAAGGTATCATCAGCAAGACAGCAAGAATTCTTCATGTCCGCATGAGCAGATCGGCTTCTCGGCACCCTTCTTGGTCTTTATGGTCACTATCACGGTATGTTCTCCCCTCTTATAGCTTGCCAGCTCGCCTTTGCCCTTTGGAGACATTTGATTTACACCGACGGAATGGACTTTGTTCTTGGGCATCACCGACAGTACCCCAAAAATGCAAGCAGAAAGTGTGATGAACCTGCAAACTGACGGCATCCCGAATCAAAGAAAACTAGCACCAAAGCGCTAAAGTTGGTCCCTTCCATCTGTCCCTCTCTTGGTTAGGCCCTGGAGACGTGGACGGGAAGTGGGGTACGGTAGGTTTGGCCATGGCCTCCACTGTGAATCGGAGGCCGGCATCCCTAACCTAGGGGTTCGTGGTGGTCGTAGGGCTGCTGATCATTTACTGGATGTGGATAATCAGATGCAGACACTTTCAATTGTTTGTTTCCTGCATCTTGAATTGATTTTGCGCACGAATTGTTTGCTTTAAAACTGCTATCGGTACCGTCTTGACGGCCCGTGGTCAAGAGGTCCGGTCTCGGTAAATCGGCATTTGGCAGTTGGCTCAAGAAAACTTCATCAAGGATGGCATCGGTACCATATTTGATCTAAAAAGTGTGACGGAGGACAAGACAGGTTTTACTAATGGGACAAAGTGAAAATGCTTCAATTACCCTCTTGGCTGACGATACAATGACTGCAAAGTGGTATGACTTAATGAGGTCTCTGTTAATGTTCCCGTGATTTCAAATACCACTGTGATCCAGCTTCAAAACCGGGTGTTAGTCGCCGCCAAGACATCTCGATACTCGGGAAAAGTGGTAAATATTATTCGACAGCAGATCACTGTATCTCCTCAAGAACAAAACTGTCCAAAATCATCCCCAGGAAGGCCAAAAGAACAAAAAGTGGGTATTTGGTGAAACAAAAATGGCCTTCCCCTCCCTCCCCTTCTCAGCTCTCCAATATGATATCCAAGATCGTCTATTCAGCTCAGCCCCCCCGCATGCCGCGGCGCCGAGCCAAACTCCCCATCATTCCCCATCACAACTGACCACCAATGCCTCATCGAGACACTAGAACTAGTGACCCTCCCCAGCATGCGAAACATGCGTAACCTCAGTCTCATGCCCCTTCGGCTTTCCAAACAGCTTCCACTTGAGCTTATCCGCCAAACTATGCTGTCTCTCATGTCCATGGCCATGATGGTGAACATCAGCAGGATGGTCACCCCCGGTCCCCTTGTCCACAGCAGCAGCCGCCTCTTTCTTGGCCTTGTCGCTGCCGCTGCCAATACCGGCCGGAGAAACGTGACGCTCGTTACCGGCGCCGCCCCGACCGGTGTGGTAGTTCTCCGTCTCCGTGGAGTGGCGGATGGCCACGTCGGGGATGATATCTTTGTCGGCGCGGCGGTGGGGTTTGACGCCTGCGTCGCCTATGTTTGCTGCTCCTGTTTGTTTGGGGTTGTGTTAGTATCAATGATGGTGGTGATGGTGATGGTGGTGAAGTCGCGCTAGGCTCTGCTAGGGAATGAATTTGGGCATGGGATAGGGGACAACGCTAGCGGTTTTTGGCGATTGGTTTTATCGCTGCCCGCTGCCCGCTTGTCCTGAAAGACATCTTGGCAAACGTGGGACAAGACTCGCTTCCTTCAGGCTGAATTCACATGGATCCCCTTGACGTTTTCGAGCTTCCCAAGCTTTCTAGCTGGGCTTGGCTGGCGATAAGGTAATTGTAGGTTGAGATAAGCCTGTTGACGGATGGTTGATATCACACCACTCGCTTTCCTTGGATGTTCCTCTTTGTCTTTCGTCGTTGTCGGCAAGGGGGTTGGTGCTGGAGGAAAGAAGAGAGGCAGAACGAGAAAGGAATGCCTTACCTCCGCGACCGGTGCTAAACGCGCCATCGCCGTGGCTACCTGTGGCGCCTGCTCTGACGACTTCTCCGTCAACGTACTTGGTGTCGTCCGGGTTGATGTTACCGGCGCCACCACGGCCGTGGGATACTTCGGGTCCTGCCATTGTGGTTGTTGGTCGCTAGGGGTCGGTGATAGGTATGCTATCGATGGTCGTAGATGTGAAGGGCGAAAAGTCTTTCGTAGGTATATTCAGTCTTTGTATAGTCCGTCGAGTATTTGCGATAGATGGTTCACGGGAAGTGCGGGAAGGCGGGTGACTCGTAAAATTAATGAGTCGGACAATGCCGTCTTTTAAACATTTCTCAACTTTTTTGGGAGCTGATCATCTGTAATGGGTGTCCGTTCACGGCTAACTCACAGCCGCACGAACGCACCCCGCGCAGCCAACCACATGCAAAAGCAAGAGGTTCCTGAAAGGGGCCTTGTCTGTGTGTTGATAACGAGAAAGGAGACTTATCTATCGGTCAATTTTAGATGGCCAAAACAAGTACATCATCGATACCCAAAACGGTGTTCCCTAACCGATATCTCCCCTTGACACATGATGGGCGGCGCGCGGGATAAGGATGGGCAAATCGCCCTGGATTCCCTGCCAAGAAGTCGAAACCGAAAAGTGGCAGCCACTCAGCATCGTCCGTCGCACTGGCACACACCAAACACCATTACGTTTATCTCCAGACCCAAATCTTTCTGGTGAATGCTGGTGATGGATTGTGACCTATTCCGGATGCCCTCCTACACATCGTGCACGCGGGAGCGACGGGATGATGGTCATGGTGGATGCCCTGGAATGCGCTGAAGAATCGGAGGAATTGAGCGACGCAAGGTGCACCCCACGTTGCTTGGACGGAATCCTCCACATGTTCCAGATGTATACTTTCCACTTGCGTCTCATCGAGGATTTGACATCATCCGGTACCTCCCGTCCACTTGGAAGACGGATCTGGAACACTTGGAAGTTCATTCCCGTCCTAGAAAGAAATTATCACGAAAGGGCCCAATACGATGACGACTTTTTTGGTTGGAGTTGGAAGGATCGATGGAAGTTCAGATGGTGCAAGGAGTGCGGTGGTTCCTATCTGCAGCAGGGGCTTCCGCTTTCGCTGTGTCACTAGGGTCACTGATAAGATAAGAGCTCCTCCAGGTTTGGCCGCTCTCACTGTTCGCAACTTTGACACTTGCAAGTTGCAACGACAACCCAACTTCACCAACGTCAACTATGTCCATACCTCTCCTCACTCTCAGAAAATTGAGGACAACCGAGACGATGGCGAGCCCAAGGGAACAATTCCTGCCCTTCAGTGGGCAGCACCCGGGCAGCACCCAGGCAGCCACTTTTACATATTCAGCTTTGCCCAGGTCCTGGTGGCTGTTGCTCGCTTCTCAGCCTTCTCTTCCTGCAATGGCCCATGAACTGCTTGTTGGCTTCTCTTGTGCTTGTTATATATCCAGCTGGCCCTTTAGCTCGGGCACTGGTTCTCATTTTCAGGCCTTCAATCGATTACGTTCATCCTGACTGGTTGTTTCCCCGCCTTCCGACCAAACATCCTGACAACCTTAACGATTATGCCAAAACACCTTAATCGTCAATATGGCCAAGAACAGGCGGCACTTCTCTCTAATCAGAACAGCCAAAAGACGGCACTTCAACTTGATAAGCATGGCCATTCCCTCTAGAGGAAAGAAGCATTCGAGAAGCCGACGTCCGACCACCGGTCGTCTCGCATGTCGCAACGCAGCTGAGGCTGAGACTACGTCGCCAGTTAACGTGCCGCCCAGATTGTGCACCGTGTGCGATGGCATGTTCACCGGGCTCCTGGTTGTGAGAAGCTATATGCCTCACCATCAGTCCGTTGCCAACCTTAGGCGATCCGCTGAGCGGGGATGCTATATCTGCAATCTTGTTGTGGCCAACCTCCAAAACCAGGTCTCCAGTGGCTTGCAGCTTCCCAGAGATCACAGATACCGCTGGCAACTACATCTTTACTCGTACAACTACCAGGAATCCCAAGACGAGTTCTACCGAGACTATGGAACGCTCTCCATATCGTCCGATCTTGATGAATGTGTACTGAAACTCATGGATGCAAAAAGTAAGTTTACGGCACATTCCGACAAGTCAAAACCGTGGTGAGGAAGGCCAGGCATGGAATAACCCTTTCGAAACACAGGCCCCAACGCACCCATTCACTCGGTTATTTCTGGGGCCAGCCTCACTGACCAGGCAGTCTTGGAAAATGCAAGAGCCTGGTTGAAAGACTGTCGCCAACATGACGCGTTGTGTGAACCAGTTGATCCTACCTTCAACCCTACGAGGCTCATCTACATTCATGACACTTCCTCGGTCCAGCTCATTGAAACCAAGAAAGACTCGAAAAGCTTTCCTTACGTCGCTTTCTCACACTGTTGGGGAAAATCCAAGCATCTCACACTATTACAAGACGAACCCAACGGGACGACGAAAGGCAACATCGAAGAACTACGCTCACTCATCCAAGTTCAACGTTTACCGACCAGCTATCGGGAGGGGATCTCTGTCAGCCTAGCCCTTGGATTTCGCCACATTTGGATTGACTCATTATGCATCATACAAAACAGCCGTGATGACTGGGCCAAAGAGGCTGTCATGATGAAGGACGTGTATGCTAATAGTTCTATCAACATATGCGCTTCAGCTGCGGCAGATTCTTCAGAGGCAAGCTTCCAGCGCAGGGACCTAAGCATGTTATCGCCGTTGGATGTCGAACCCAGTGGACTGGTCTCCTCGATTGCGATGACATCGAGAGCGAGCTTGGTCCACTTCCAGCATACCTCCAGCGGATCAAATTCAAGCTTGTAAATACAAGCATGTACGAGTCAGATCTATCAAACGCGCCGCTTAATCTTCGCGCTTGGGTCTTCCAGGAACGTATTTTATCACGACGTCATCTTTATATGACTTGCAACCAGCTCTGGTGGGAATGCCGCGGTATGTGTGCTTGCGAAGTGTTCCCAGCAGGGATTCCCGATCGTCTGGATCCTAGCCGTACGGACACAGACGAGGGATACAGGGTCCAATACTATGCGTTAGGCGGCCATCGTCATCATTCTATTGACAATGGAGCGGCATTGGATTCTTCTTCGGCAGGCCAAAGGAAGAGAGTTACTCAGGGCGAGCTTGCCCGGCATGCACCGTTCAGCGGTCCATCGGAAGTTGATATGTACGAGCTTTGGAACAGGCTCGTTGAGCGGTACTCCCAGTGCAATATCACCTACTCATCTGATAAGCTACCCGCGCTATCTGGGCTTGCAAAGAGCTTCAGCATCTTACAAGGCTCAGGGTTTGCTCTCAACGGACAATCTTATCTCGCCGGCGTTTGGCGACCATATTTACCAGAAGCTCTATATTGGAAACCAAAGCCACCATTGCGGGGCGATGTCCCGTTTGGCAGGAACCGACCTCATCCATACCGTGCCCCCTCATGGTCTTGGTCATCGGTGGAGAGCCCGGTCGAGTGGATTAATTCTGGGCAATTCACGGAACCGGCCTGCCGCGTAGAGGATGCGAAGGTACTTCACCTGGACGAACGGTATGAGGCTGGCATGGTGAAGGGTGGTATCCTGCACCTGAGGTCCCGTCTTATTGGACCTTTCACCTACGAAGAGTCGCCACTGATGAACTTGACCCCAAGTCCAGCCCTAGATAGTCGTGTTAGGGTGGCTCTCTGCTCTGCAGAGAAGGAATGTGTGACTTGCTGGGATGAAAGGGATTTCGATTCCCAAAAGTGGTGCATCAGCTACCTGGATCCGCTTCCAGATACTGTGCACGAGGACGGCATCTTGAATGGCACAGAAACCGTGCGGAAAACGGTGTCGCTCGAGGCTTCGGCAAAAGATCCCCGCATACGACTTTTTCTTGTGCCTCTTTTTCAACGGTGGGGGTTTGCCGGCGTGATTCTCTGTCAAGTCGTAGTCGACGAAACAGACCTCGAATGCGCTGATGATAAAGCTGTTTTCCAGCGGGTAGGGAGCTTCGCTTACATGGAGATTGAGAAAAAGGTGCTGGATCTCATACCGGAGAGAACGATTGCCATCATATGAGGATAGGAGCACAAACAGATGGAACAAGATAGCTTCTTTTTTTCATTCGACGAGTATCAGTTGGCGTCAATGGATCTTTCTCCGGCAGTTCGTCTGCCAATTCCGTGTCATTTGGCAATACATATATATATACATACATACATACACGCAGGCTGTCCATCTGTCTCACGTCACTGCACGCCGGGAAGAGTGGAAGCCACTGTCGAATGGAAAGCTCGACCCAGAAGATTTCAGCACCAGGAGCAAGTGCAACCATCACTGTGGAAGTGACCTGGTCCTCTGCCTGCACTGCGGAAGGAGCGATCGAATACGATATGCGCCAAAAGATGGAAAGGAAAACGAAAACCCGACAGAAATGGAAAGTGCAAACGGGGTGGGTGCCAAGTCCCTCCTTCCCTTCCCATTTCACTTGCGTCATTGTGCCACTTCTGCGCCCATTCATCAACATATTCATCACCCGCAACAACAAACCCTCCAAAAACAAACCCAAAAATCTCATCCACGACAAGTAATAACAGCCGACACAAAGAGCTGCAAAAAGAAAAACAAAAAAAGAAACAGATAAACGACGCGAGCAGGATTTGAACCTGCGCCTCCGAAGAGATTTGATATGTTCGAATCATGGAGTATTCGAGTCAAACACCTTAGGCCACTCGGTCATCGCGCCTTTTTTTTTTGATTGTTACAAATCCTCAGCAAGGTGAGGTTTATGTATACCAGTGACAGGTTTCTCAGTAGAAGGGATAGGAATGTTTGATGCCGTGGTGGTGGGTTGGAATTTTGGTCGCTGTGGTCACTCAGGTTTTTTGAAGGCTTTTGCTTGTCTTTCTTTTTCGCATTTCTTTTTCTAATGGGATCTGCGGCATATGAGCTTTTTTTGTACCAGGTGCGGGAGTGTCACGTATCGGTAGGTGATCGTGGGATCAATTGGTTTCGAAAAGGATTGACTGCCTTGTGGAGTGCTAGGGAGGAGCTTTCATCCACCGAACCTCTTATCCCTGTATGGAAGGATGGAAAGCAAATGGGTATTTAAAACGACTGAACGCCTCAATACGCCTGACTGACGACTTTCTCGTATCAGACTTTGCTTGCCTTAATATCCCTTCTCCTGATAAAATTCCTCCCAGCCTTTCGCTTCTCCATCACCCCATCAGTCCTTTTCCGAGCACCTGTCGAATGTAGGTACCAGGCCTTCTCCTTTTCTTTCCTTCGCCCTCCCAAATCAAACCCCATGTTGAGTCAAATATTAGATAGGCCTATTAATCTGATACTCGCTCAAAACCCCCGAAGTCTTCTTCAACTCGTGACCTCACCAGCGCTCAAGCTGCCACCAAACCTCGTTCCATCGCTGCGTCCAAGAACCTTCACCGACACCCAACCGCCATCATTGCCATCCATGAACAACGCGACCTTGATCGGACCGTCACTGGGGCGGCAGAAACAGTTCGAGTCACCGAAACCCAGTGGGTTAAGGTGGAAAATCGACAAAGCCTTCTCATCGTGCTTATTGACAACTTCAAAAATGTCGAACTCTCCACAGCCGAAGTCCCAGCATGAACACTTGTAGTATTGCTGAGTGTAGGGGATACGGGCGTTGAGGAGCCACAAAGTGGGTTTGTCGTTCGGGTCCGAACCGTCGGCGTTGGGATGCGAGTGTGGCATCAAGAATTCGAAGAGGAACATGCGGTTGGGACCGGGGAAACCCTCTGATATAAATGCTAGTCATGTGGCGGACGAGAGAAAACGAGAGGAAGTTGAGAAGAGGGGAGAGAGGGAGACTTACTCCGAGCAGCAGCGCCAGGTTGGATGTATCCGCAAGATCCATCGTCGCACTTCTGATCCGTGAACATTGAGAAATCGGCCGTGTCAGAGACGGTGGTGTCGGCGAGAATGGTAGGGCCGCCGCCGCCGCCGTCGCCGCCGTCGCCGCGGGAGTTGACGAATGAGAGAGAATTGCCGAAGGTCCTGTTGATGGTGGTCTGGTGTTAGTGATGGGTTCGAGGTGGACAGCAAAAGTCGGTATAGAGATGGGTTCGATTGACTTACTTGGTGAAAACACTAGAGCTGGCAGTGCCACCAAAGTTGCCCATGAACGTGATGCCCTCTGAGGTCTGGCTCTGGGCATGGTAGAATCCCTTGCGGGAGTACGAGCCGTCGCCGTTCGGCTGGTAAAATCCGACCTGCTTGAGGTGCAAGGGACCGTGGAAGTGCAGAGAAACCTGGGAGTGAAGTGTCAGTGACATGCTCGCTCCTTCTTGAGACTCAGCTGTCAATGGGTAGACGGAGAACTTACCGGCTCGTTAAACGGAACCAACTCGTCGCTCCAAGCCCTAGGAGCCTTGTCGTAACGACCAGTATCGCCATCCATAAAGGTCACGGCTTGGTAGGTACTGCTGCCTCTTCCCGAGCTCGACCTTGGTGTAGAGCACTTGATCCACCTGGGAGCAGAAGTAGGTTCCCTGCTCGTCACGACCTTTGTCCTTGCAAAGGTCTTGGCTAGGAGTTTGTGCGCGGAAGGGATCGTTGTCGGGAGGGACCGTTTGCGGGTTGTTGGACTCAGCATCAGGGCCGGCGTGAGCGCGGACGACGAGGCCGGAAACCGAAGAGTTAGAACCGGAAACGTTGAAGATGGCAGCAGAATTGGTGACGCCAACAATGGAGACCACGGCCAAGATGGCCTTCTTGATACTGAAAACCATGATGTTCGTGTTGATGATTCGCTTCGATTTCTGAAATTGGATTTCGTTGCTCGTAGTCCGAGTGGAAAGCTGCTTTCCAGATGCCGACGAGGATTCGAAATGGAGGAAGTTCTGGTAGGAAAGGGTTCCTTTATACTGCTGCTGGAATAATTCTACTGCTCCACCAGAATTCCCTCAATACCCTTCACCAAGCCATCGCCAGCCGCTAGGGGCCCAAGTGAAGGTATCTCCAACCTTGGCAGCCGTCTGCACTTCACCTTGTCCAGAGCCTGGAGACGGAAGTGGAAACACAGAAAGTGGGAGTGAATGAACATCCCAGCTCAAAATTATGGATTCTGTTGTACAACCTTCATGCCAAGACATCGTCGAGTGTTCTGGACCGAACGGCAGCGTTGGTGAAGGGGCCTTCGGGTCTGAAGGTTGAGGAATGTGGGGACCCCGTCTCTTTGGCGATGAGAAGGCATCAAGTGAACGGGGGAAGTGGAAAAATCTCCAAAGGTTTTAGTATCTGTCTGCCGCTCGGCTTGCCGTATGGCACAGAATAGCTCAGGGGTTCCGTTCACTGACAAAGCATGCCGGAAGGGATGCCGAGCGGCTTTAGATGACGGCTCCTAGGCAATCGAGATTACTTTGTCTGTCCGGAGAGCGGATGAAGACTCGCAAGATCTGGATTGAAGACGGTTTGTTCAGCGTTCTGGGGTCCATGTCTCCAACTGTAGCCATGATGGACTCATCAGAGAAGCTTGATTTTCCAGCTAGCCAATACACACAAGGCCCGACTGATACTCTAGAGCCATGGTCCGGAGAGCTATAATTGGCGGAAGCACCGTGAACGAGGCCCGTACCTACAAATTTGAATAGTCTGATAGAGGGGTTCAGCCCGGGTCCGATGCGTAGGTGCTCATGACCAAGCAAGGGATACGTTGTGAAGAGCACGAGGATCGATGGCCGGGCGATGAGACACAGTTCGAACGTAATCAAATGTACCTTGGTGAAAAAATTCACAAGTTCCGATTGTCTAAAAATGGGTTCTTTCACACGAGTGTCCAATCACCGCTCATCAGAGAGGAACGGGAACAAATTAGCTTCCGTGGTCGATATCTACGGGCCATGATCGCATGCCCAGTGTAGAGTGGGCGATGCCAAATTCGAATAAGAAGGATCTTGACTGAATTAATGGGTTATTGCTTCTGTGTTCCACATACGGAACCGTATCGCCTTTGGAGGTAGTCATGAAAATTTTGCCGTTGCGGAGGTCGTGGTGGATGGTTCTTCAATGCCTGGACTGCCCCTGGGCAAGAAGAAAACGAGTTTTGGTTAGACTGTCTTGTGGTGTTCCTTATGGCGGGTAAGTGAAGATGATAAGAGGTCGTAAAATTGAACATCAGAATGCTCCTGCCCATTGGAGTTTCTTAGTAACGAGGAGACGAGGGAGACTATAAAGAGAAATGACGACCGAAACCAAGTGGAAAGTCTGGAAGGCGCATGTCAGCAAACATGCAGTCTCCGCCTTTATGTTGTCAGGCAAGAAGCAAAAGTCAAGCAATGCATGATGCGAGTTTTCTGCGAGTCACTCCAGGCACCGAAAGCAATTTCAACATGCGTGACAACGGGAATCTGTTTAAAGGGAAGTGCCATTGAATCACTACTGCGCGGGTATCTCGAAGACAAAAACTCCCAAACGCCTATGCTACCTGTGGTAACAGATATTCTTCCTTCCCTTGAAATCCTTCCAGACTAAGCCGTCTCTTGCAGTCCGCAACGAGTCCCCTTAATGGTTGGGGTAGACTTACTCAGAGACAAGACCACTCTTGGCCTTGAGCTCATCGACTTTACCAGCCGAGAGCGAAGCACCGAAACGCGCGCCATCGCTGGCACCCATGTTCTTGATGCTGACGGTGCCACCGTTGGTGGCATCTATGACAAGAGCAACCGTGATCGGGCCTCCCTTGGGACGTTGGAAGTAATTGGCATCTCCGGCAGACTTGCCATCGTCACCAAGGTGGAACGTAGACAATGCCTTATCCTGGCCAGGAGCCAAGACCTCAAAGACGTCGAGTTCACCGCAACCGGACTTCCAACAGTTGCAGTCAAAGTATTGTGCCGTGTTCGGGATTCTGGAGTTGAGGAGCCAGACGGCAGGCTTGTTGCCGCCGCCGTTGTTGTGCTGCGGTTCGTCTGGCATGGAGAACTCGAACAACAACACGCGAGCGAAACCCGGCAAACCCTCTGTGGTGAAAGGGGTTAGCAATCTGACTTTGTGACTGTTTAAACTGACGAAGAAAATCAGGTCACTTACTATAGGTGACGGCACAAGAACGACTACGTTAGCTTGATGTATCTCGGAAGGATTACTGCACAATAACTTACCCAGAGATAACACCGGATCCGGTACCACCGCGGTTGCCGAGGAACATGACTCCCTTCCGAGTCTGGGTAGCGGCATGGTACTCGGCAATGCGATTGTAAGCACCGCCGCCACTAGGAATTTAGACCGAAAATTGCTTAAGACGGAGAGGTGCTCGGAAAATAATGGACAGCTGAAATGAAGAGAAAAGAAGGTTAGCATCGCTATGACAAGCTTTGATTGAAGCTAAACATGTACTTGCAGGCTCGTTGTGCGGAGCAAGGTCTCCGTTGAACTGCTTAGGACTCTTGCTGCAAGCACCGGACTCGTTGTCCATGAAGGTGTCAGCCTCGTAGGTACCAGGCTTGGTCACCTTGGAGTAGATGACCTGGTCCACCTTCTGGCAGTACCAGTTACCAATGTCCTCTTGATGCTTGTGGTCGCGGCACAAGTCGTCAGCGGAAACGTCGGGGGCGTCCAAGTGAGGGTTGAACTCCGGGTCAGTGCTGTACGGAGCAATGTCACTCTGACGAGCGACAATGGTCGAGTTACCGTGGTACGAGAGGGAACCAAAGCGACCGACTGCAAAGGCGTTGGCACCAGGGATGGTGCCGAAGACCAGGGAGACCGCAAGGGCCTTGAAGACGTTGAGGATCATGAGGAGATTCTCGAGTGTCTGGTCAGTGATGAGGTGCTTCGGTATCAGTGCTCGCTGGAGTGATCTCGGTGCTGTTGCAGAAAGGAAAAGTTTGGTTCTGGGAGGAGGAAGGGATCCTTTTATGGCGGCCCAGGAAGTATTCCAGTTCCCCTTCACGCACGAGAAATTTCAAGTGGAGTTTATGGCGATACCATTGACTCCGACAGCCAAGACGGGATCTTGGAGGTTAGTAAACGGGTCGGCGTCCAGGTGAAGGCATCTTGGTCTGGTATATAAAGCGGGAAGTATCCACTTCTTGAGGTTTTGGTTATTCACTTCCCATTCCCACTCGGCGCAAGTGGGGAGGAGGCAGGGGACAAGGGTCCGTCTGAACTTCTGAAGTCCCTTCACAATGATATCGAACCTCTCGGCGGAAGCTCAAGGTATATGCCAAGTGATATCCGAACGGATCTTAGCTCGACAGATTGAGACGGCATATACCCGAACCGCTAGTCGTCCGCTTCACCGCCCTACGTTCCGCCACATCTGATACCTGTGGTCCCAGCTTGATGATACAACAGGTAATTATAGGATCTAGACGGCAGTAGATTGTGACAAGTTCGAACTGGTTCTGTTTCGTTTGTCAGTTTGGCAGATGTAGTCACTTCCCTCATCCATGGGTTTGACGAGCATGTTTGTTTTGGTCTTGATCCTTGGAGTCAAGCCATTGTCTTTCGATTCCATTTTTCTCTATTGGTTCTATGGATCAACTAATTTATGGGAGTCAAGAGCCCAATCTCTCGGTTGAGTTTGCGCGAGCAGATGACGTTTTGGTCGATGTGCCAGCCAGCTCTACCAGCTAACAACGACAGCTAAACACCCCCGGATATCTCAACTTTACGGAGTCCTATTGCATTTATCGTTTCCTGCACCATGGCTGTTAGTCCAGTAGAACTCTAAATATCGTGAACTCCATCAAGTCTCTCCCCCAAATGATGAGTTCTGGTCAAGTAATGCCTCCCGTCTGTTAGTGAGATTGTTCCTTCTGCGGCTGTGAGCATAATGTTTCCCAGTCTAGTGCAGTCACCACAGCAAACACCTGAATGGCAAGCAAGGGTTTATAGTGACATTCTCTCCCCTCCCAGCAACTGGTTGAAAGCTGGAAGTCAGGTTCATTCACTCTCAACATGAGCTCCGTTGTGGATCCGGAGCTGACGATCAATCTGGACCTGATGATGATGTCAAACCTTGATCTGGGAGACACTGGAGCCTAATTCCTCGAAACCTTGGGTGTCACCCATTTGGCGGCTGTTCATCGGCAGTGAAGGTGCAACTGCTGGATAATTCAGTTCCAGATTTCCGGAGTAGTATTTCTAGACGCCCTTTTTCACCATTGATATCGAACTTTTTCCAAACCACACAACCCAAATCTTGAGCAGCACTCACAATCTTCCGCCCTCGCGATCCAAAAACCCGAAGAGTCAAGCCCCCCACAACCTAACCCAACAACTCCTCACTTTACAGCTCTCAAAATGAAATCGACCATCTACTCCAAGGTCTTCACGGTAATCATCTCTCTCTTGGGCATTACCAACGGCCTCGCCATCATCCGCGGAGATGCTCCTTCCCTGAACGTCTCCATCGGAGGTTCTATCAACCCCATTGGCAACGCCCCTACTCCCCTGAACGTTTCTATCGGCGGCGAGATCAACCCCATCGGTGCTCGCAACATTCTCCGTGACCTTGATGACTCCAACTCGAACGGCGCTCCTTTGAACATTTCCATTGGTGGCTCTATCAACCCTATTGGCAATACCTCTTCTTCTCTCAATGTCTCCATCGGTGGCGAGATCAACCCCATTGGCAGTAATCCCACTCCTCTCAACGTTTCTATCGGCGGCGAGATTAATCCCGTTGGCACTCCTTTGGGAGACAGCGACTAGTTAGGTAGGTCCATACTCCATCTATTACAATTTGACTACCCGCCTCTCTGCCTCAACTCGTTCTTGCGGCCCCACTTCAGTTGCTAATCTCCCCATTCCTGACAGGTGTTCACCTTCCCCTTCTTGATTGTCAATGTCACGAACAGGTTTTGTCTAGCAACACCAAATTATGGGCCGGTGAACCATATTCCGACGGCGAGAGCCCTTCATATCAACAGTAAAGCTGGTTTCATAGCGACTTGCACATCATGGCTCGACAGACATGGAGATGGAAGTTGATGGGGCAGAAATCGAGGTTTCAATGACAAGACATAAACCTAGACGTAAGAACAGGGAGATGTAATGTTGATATGACAATCTCCACGTGAACTTGAAATCTCCCAGGGGAGAAATTAAGTGATGATTTAGACGGCATACCACATTAAGAGGCGCTGGAGATAAGAAGGCTCGGTAAAGATAATATCTAGAACTGGGGCACCTGTGAAACATACCGTGTCTGTAGCGTGGAAGGAACGATCCCATGAAAGTGCCATACGAAGGAGAAAATGGGAAAGTTCCAAGATGAAACAAGCAAGGAAAGAGCAACCAAGAAAGCAGAGGAAGCAAAGCCACAAAACAACTGGAAAGAAAAAAAATAGCACATAGAAGGAAACAATAGAAAATAGGAAACAGGAACGATCTAGAACCTGCAGCGACCAAACTCCAGGGTATGTATCGTGAAAAGCACTAGCTATCAATTCTCGTATAAAAAAGCCGATGCCATGCTGTTTCCGTCCCTCGAAGTATCCCTTCGGCCAGTCAGGTGTCTCAGTCTCACCACAGCAACCTAGCCGACCTCTTCATTCCTTCCCGTCTTTCCCACCTGTTCTTTCCTACCTAGAGACTTGTGACTAGGTATGTACCCCGAAGGATACCAACAATCAAGCCTCACCCCTCCTAACAGCATAATCAGTCTCACTAATCACGCCTCCGCTCCTCTTCTTGATCTCTCCCACCTCTCCCTCCTCCAACCTCTGCCCAAACAAACCACCATCACTTCCGCCCAAAACCTTCACGGACGCCGTACCGCCTCCCGCTGCCCCATCAAACAACACAGCAACCTTCATCGGCTTGTTCTGGTCCACTGGCCTCGGGAACCATTTGACGTCGCTAGCCGGCGGATTCAAATGGAACGTCGTCTCCGCGCGCTCATACCCAGCGTGCAGGATCTCAAAAACGTCCCACTCGCCACACCCGCTGTTTCAGCACGAGCAGTCACCGTACTGCTGCGTCAGCGGCACGCGGGCGTTCTCGATCCAGATGGCGGGCCAGTCGCCGCCAGTGTGCGGCATGGAGACTTCCATGAGGAAAATGCGGGAAGTACCCAGGAACCCCTTCTTGGCTATGGCGCCCGGGCGCACGTAGCCGCAGCTGCCGTCGGTGCAGTCTTGGTCTGTCATGACGACAAATTCATTGGTAATAACCTCGTTGGCGAGAACTTGTGGGGAGGAAGAGCCGGAGGCGGTGGGGTTCACGTAGGATAAGGACGCGCCGAAGGTCTTGCCGACCACACCGGAGCCTTCACCACCGCGGTTGCCGAGGAAGGAGATGCCGCGGGTGAGCTGTTGGGCGGCGTTGTAGTAGCCGATGCGAGAGTAGGAAGAGCCGGACGGGGTGTAAATGCCAAGTTGCTTGAGGTGGATGGGGCCACGGAAAAAGAGTGCGACATGTTGTCCGTCGAGTTAGCATTGGGCTGTCTTTGTGCAGGTATCAAAATGGATGTAGCCAAAACTTACCGGCTCATTGAACGGGGCCATCTCCCCAGAAAAGGTGCGGTTCACCTCGGCAAAACGGCACTCGCCAGTCTCGTCGTTCATGTAGACGACCTCACGATACTCGCCAGGGTGGGCGACGTTCGTGTAAATTACTTGATCGACGCGGGAGCAGTAGTAGTCGTCATCCTCAAAAGTTCTGTTCTGGCAGAGTTTGTCGGACGGGACCAAGAGAAGGGGGTCCTGGGTGTGAGGATCCGCGTAAGGGGCAGACTTGCGAAAAGAGCGAGCATGAGAAAGCAGAATCAGTGATGGTGTCGATACCGTTGTCTGTAGCGTTGGAGGCCACGAGGTTAGTGGGAATAGCACTGGCGACTCCCATGAGGGAGAGGAAAGCCATGAAAAGCATGATGACTTTGATGATGGAGGCCATATTGGAGGACTCGCGGGTTGGGCGTCGAGCAGGCGAGCGAGCAGTGCAAGTGCTTTGGTCCTAGGTGGTCAGTATCTCACTAGGTAGCTGCTCGAGATTCTGGTTGACTGGTGATCCAGGCAAAAAGAAAAAATCAGCAGGAGGAAGCTCTGAGGTGTTTATATAGTTGGGAAGTCGTGGAAAAGAAAAAAATTCGGAGGGGCCAGTGAATCCGATGAATCCAACCCTCAGCCCATCACTGCTCCTCCATTCACCTGCTCGACCTTCAGGACCAGACAGCCAGGGCCCAAAACGGCTGTCAAGTGTCAAGGTCTCGGGAACGACTTCAGATTCCAGTTCCACCACCCCCCAGTGAAGTGATCCCCAAGAGCCTCAGGCCCCACACTTCTGCGTCCAAGAACTTTCATTCCTTGTGCAGACGGAACCAGACGAGCAGGTTCAATCTCCATGCACGACTGTCCAGTTAATAGTGAAGGGAGCTTCAGATGCCAACTAAAGCGGCATCCAGGCCTTACGGGCCGATTCTCCACCTGAAGTCCTAGGCATACATGTATTCAACGTTGTCAACCTAGGTCTGCGATGAACCGCAATGAAAATGAAGTAGGTAGGTTTCTTCCGACCTCAACTCCTTCCGGATGACATGCAGACAGCACATTCAACCCACGAAGCTCGTCCGTCGGTTGTTCCAAGCTAGTATGACACGGAGCTGGTAGGTAGTGGTGTATGGAGGAATGAGACGGCACAACTCAAGATAAAGAAAGGTTCAAGGGAACACCTACTTCGGATAACAAAAGCTTTGATAGGTAGGTACCCACACAGCGTATTACCGGGCCTACATGTAATGTATTGAAGGTTGCGGAGGAATGTCGACTTGTGTGATTCCAGCGGCCGGGCAGTTGCAGTTAATGTTTAATTTGAGGAAACTGCTATCAGTAGGTACTTTGGCATCTATGCACACAACTGGAATCATTTTATACTGGCAACTCGAACAGGCGAACACGTAGTGGATTCCCCAGACATGCACGCATGAATATACAAAAACATTGATACAGACATTAACATGCTCCAAAATTGGGTATCTCTGTCATTAACAGCACGGCAGCTACGCTCTTGCCCTCTTCCCACGGCCCCTCCCCCTTCCTCTACCCGTGCCTCTCCTTCCCCTGGAGCTTGAAGCCACGACATCATCCTCCTCGTCTTCATCTTCGTCTTGCTCTCCATCCCGCTCAACATCATCCTCCGCCTCTGCCTGAACCTCTTCGTTGTCCTGCGCGGCAGTCTTCTTCCCTCTCTTCCGTTTCTTCTTATTACCTCCATCCCCCTCTCCATCCAACGGCCCCATAACCATCACCGGCAAAGCAGTAGATAACCCCGAACCGCCAACCTTGCTGCGAGATTTCAACCTCCCCACCGCCTCCGCCATCCTTTTACTTCCTTTACTCTTATTACTTTCCCTAGGCGCATAAACATCCTCACCAGCCGCACCTCCTTTGTTCCCATCGCCACCCAAATTCCTCCCAACCGTCCTCACGGTCCCACTCCCAATACCCCCCTCAAAAAACCTCGTAATATTACTCTGCGTCCCCTCCCTCTCCCGTCTATTCATATCCCTAATAACCGGCACTAACACCTCATCCGTTCTCTCCGGACTCCATCCAATCGTTTGCATCAAGTACTGTCTCAGCCCTTCCAAGTCCGGAACGCCCCACTGGAAGGGGTCAGGTGTACTGTCCACCTCAGGACGAAGATAGGCTTCGAAGACTGCGGGACTGGGGAAGTTGAGGGGGAGGAATAACTTTGTGAGGTGGGATTTACGGAATTTGCGTCTGAATGGGGTGTTGAGTAAGGAGGCGTCAGGGTGGGGGGTTGATTGGAGGGTTGTCCACCATTGTTTGAAGTCCTTTAGAGAAGACATCGGCCCTGATTCACTGGATGGTGGGAACTCGGATAATATCTCCACAGCCGTAACCGGCCCAACACCCGGTAGACCTTCTGTATAGTCGCTGCCCAAAAGCTGGGCCAAGGCAATAAGCTGCTCCCTCCCCAACGACAACTCCTTTTCTATGTCATTCAACAAATAACACTCGACAAATTTATTCCCGTTGAACATATTTTTGTACACCCTCGTGCCGCCAAATAGGAACGTGTCGCTGTCATCGGTGACAATCCCATCGACCAGACCTAAACGGACGAGCTCGGCGCATTGCGCTTCGGCTTCCATGGGCGCGGTGATGTAAGGGATCCCGAAGAAGCGGAGGAGGGCTTGGCATTCTGTGATCATTATTTGCGTGACTTCATCGGCGTCGCGACGGTCTTTGCGTTGTTGAGAACGTAAGGCTTTGAGTTCGGCTTCGTAGGCGGCTTGGTTTTCTTGCAAGGACTTGGAGCTGGCCGGGTTGAGCTCGGTGGCGAAGCGCGCGTGCTCTTCGGCTTCGGCGGCGAGAGAGGCGAGGAGTTCTTGCTCTTCGGGGTCGCTGAAGTCGTCTTCGAATTCGGAGAGGGCGGGTGCGTCGGGGTCGGGGATGATGTCAGTGGTGGTGTCGTCCGGAACAGCTGCCAAACCTTCGACTCGTTCTTGATGGGCGGAAGGAGGGAGGACGTCTTTGAAGAGGTCGGCCTCGATTTGGGCGTCTTCTTCGGCTTGGGTTGTGGGTGGGCCAAAGGTGAGGGTCATGGTTTGTGAAGGAAGGGTTGCGTCTTCGAATATGATGTCGTCGCCTTCTTCTTCGTTGGGGGTGGGTGATCGGCGGGCTTTTTCGGGTTCTTGGTTGTCATTCAGGGAGGGTAGACTAGCACCTGGCATCTGAGTGGGCTTCTTTGGTGATGGAGGAGCATCGAGGATTTCCAAATCACCGTCATCTTCGTCCGATGACTCAATAAACATGATGTCGTCCTCTCGTTGCTTTCGAATTCTGGCCTGTTCTTCACGAGCCAAGTCTTCATCCTCCTCAGCCATTTTCCTATCGTGCTCCCGCTGTTTTCGAACAGTCTCGCGGATATCCTCATCAGTATTTGCTAGCCATGGCGGTAATGGAAGAGGAGCATCCTTCTTTTTCTGGGCTTCTTCGGGTTCTCTCTCAAAACCGCCAGCTTCGTCCTCCGAATCAGGTTCCATCGCACCAGTCTCAACAGGCTTGGGAGGTTCACAAACCTTCTTCTCCTGAGGCTGTGCTTTTGGTCGACTGCCGCCGAGAAGGCTCTTCCAGTCCAGTTTCTCAAATGGAAGTGGACCTTTAAAGGGAGTATTGGCGGGAACAGGGCGATTTTCGACCACCGGCTTTGGTGCCGGCGCCTTTGCTTGCTTCCTCCTAGCTGCCGCCATGGCTGCCTGGATATCCCCTTCACTATCGCTGCTGTCGGTACTCTCCCTTCGCCTTGGAACGGCAGCACTCGCCCTATTGTTGACGATATGTGCAACCATGCGACCACTGGTGCTCACAATAGGCTTGGGTGCTTCCACTGCTTTCTGTGTCCACTGGGGAGCAGTAACCTCTTCAAACTCCATGTCCTCATCTTCCTTTTCTGGCTGCAGACCGACACCATGCTGATTCTGAAGAGACATGGCAATAGCCCTATTGAGGTCTTCCTCCTCATCAGCTTGTATCCCATCCTCCTCTCCAAACACAGCATCTTGTGGGTTATCGACGAACAACGCCTCATCATCTTCATCTTCCACCTCTTCACTCTGCCTCGACTCATAAAACTGCCTTCTCGCATCCGCAGCACCCCTGGCTCTTTCACCAGCAGCCCTACTCAACTTGGGCAACCGATTGAGCCCTTCAATCGGCACATCCTCAAACTCGACATCCTCATCCTCATCCTCCTCTTCATCTCCCATCCCCTGAAACTGAAACTCCAGCTCATCAACATCAATAGGATTCGTCACCTGTCCTTTATCCTTCTCTTTACTCACCACACCCAACGCATACCCTCCCTCAGCACCCTCATTCTTCACCAGGATATACTCCCGATTCTGATCCCCCGCCACCCTTGTCGCGTTCACCGCCAGCGTCAGATCCAGCCCCGTCATACCCATCTCGTACATCAGTCTTTGAGTCAAATGATTCCGCTCTTTGACCCGCTCAATCTGGAACCGGCTGAAATCCATCCTGTTAGGGAACATGACGTCCAACTGCTCTTTACTCAGGCCCATTCGCAGTCTACTTCTTAGTCTAGCCGCGTTCAGGATATTGTACCGATCGGCGGGCGGCAAGCTCTTAAAAAACTCGCCGTCGAAATCGATCTTGCTGAAATCGTACAGGTTTATGTCCTCTCCGTTTTCGAATTGCCTAGCGTACTCTTCGAGTTCTTCGACGGACATGATGCGTGGGTCGTCGGGCTTGCCCATGCCTTCGATGGAGCTGGTGAGGTCGGGGAGGTGGTAAGCGTCTTGTTTGTGAAAACGGCGAGATTTTTGACGTTCGGTTTGGGACATGCCTAGTTCATCGGCGTAGACGATTGTGTCCATGTCTGGGAGTACTTCCTGCTCTTCTTCCTCTTCTGTTGTTGCTGCTGCTGCTGCTGCTGCTGTTGTCCTTTTGCCTTCTCGAGCCTCTGCCTTCTTTCGCCTTCTTTCTTCCTCCTCCTCGGCCATACGATGCATTTGCACCGCTAACAGTTTTCCTGCTGTCCTTGTGGCATCATCGCGTCTCCCCTCTCGTCTGCGCCGACGGGCTTGGATGGTGGCGCGCTTGAGGGCGGGAGCACCGCCATCGAAGACGAACACCGGCTTGATGCCGTACCAGAGAAGTTTGCATATTCGACGGAAGAAACCGACGACGTGGGAGTTGCGAAGAGCGTTGCCTTCTTTGTCGCGGACGGCTTTGAGGAATTGGTAGATCCAGATGGAGGCGTCGATGGCCAGGCGCTTGCGGTTGAGGGTGGACAGGTTGGTTGGGCGGGCGCACGGTTGGAGGACGGTCCAGAGGCCGTTCACACCCATGGTGGGTGTTTACTCGGGGGTCGTGATGTTGTTGTTGTTGTGTGTTGTTGTGTTGATGATGATGCTTGTAGTCGTCAAGGTGCTCATCAAGGGCGCTGTACGTCGGGCTAAACGCACTAACGGGGAGTGACGTCAGGGCAGACAACAGTAAGAATGACCAAAGAAGGTGTGGTTTTTCACTTTGGTCGTGTGAGAAAACTCATGGTATTGAAACTTTCAAGGTACATAATCACATTCAAAAGAGTGGCAATGTGAAGATTTCTAATGATGGCAAGCTGACAAGTTCACGCTCATGATCGAGGCGTCGTCGCCGATCCGCGTTGCTGCCTGCCGGCCAACATCCCTTTCTCGCTTATCGCTTACTTACTCTCTATGCGATAAACCGATGCCTGCCGCGCGATGCCTGCCCCACCATGCACTTTCCGAGAACAGGAGCTTGGGCCAGGCCTCACCAGGGTTCACTGTGGTCAGCAACATTGCATTCCGTTGGACATTCTCAACCCTGAACATCAAAGTCAACATCCGAAGCTCATGAACGGCGCAGGCGCTGAACACTACAACGGGCATCGTAGCTTGATTCGGTCCTTTTTAAATCAGTCACAAAGCAATCATAGACTTCGGTCTAAAAGAAACAACCGACATTCGCCCAACGACATCAAACATCATCAGACATCCACCTATCATCCACTCATCCTCCCGGCGACTCACTCATCGAAACCACCCCGGCTTAGCTCCAGATAAACCCAAAACCTCACCCACCAACACACGATACATACTCCAGAACCACATACATCTTCACAATGTCCGAAGACCCAAACGATACTTTCTTCCCTACAGAGAGGGAGGAAGCCACAGAATGGCTCAACTCCCTCCTCAACAAGAACCTCCGCGTATCCGTTACCGACGGCCGCATGTTCTGGGGCCAGTTCAAGTGTGTTGATGCGGTAAGCTCACCAACCCTTACCTGTCTCGTTTTCCCGGTTACTTACAAAGATTAACAGGAAAGCAACATCATCCTCCACTCAACCTACGAATACCGCTTCCCCACCTCTTCCCAGCTCGCAGCAGCCGCAGCAGCCGTTACCTCTTCCCTTGCCCCTTCGTCCTCTTCCCTTACCCCTTCGTCCTCTTCCCTTGCCCCTTCGTCCTCTTTTCTTGCCACCTCCTCCACCATCACCGCCTCCTCAGCCCTTTCAGCACCCTCAGACCCCTCTCTAGACCCCCCAGCACCATCAACCTCAGCCTCAACTTCAACAGCCCAAGAAGACCTCGAAGAAGCCTACGACCGCGCCGCCGCCTCCGGCAAAATGAAAGTCGACCTCTCCTCGCGCTATCTAGGACTGGTAGTGATTCCAGGGGAGTACATCACCAAGATTGAGCTGGAGGAATTTGCTAGTCAGATTCGGAAAAGGAATAAGGGACATGGGCAGGGATTGGGGTTTCATCCTGGTTGGAGAGATGCTGCTGCTGCCAGTGGTGGGATTTCTTAGAAGGATAGTACTGGGATGAAGAGGAATTGGGATGAGAGGGATGAGGATGAGAATGAGGATGGGTCCATAATTGAAAAGGGTTCGGACGACAACAACAACAACAACAACAACAACAACAACGGCAGTGATGGGGAGGGCAATAAAGGGGAAAAAATACCACCACTACCAACGTCACCTCTACGCCTAAAGACCCAACCGCCTCAGTCTCAACCTCAACCTCAAAGACCCCCGCCTCAGCCCCAGACCCCATCCCAAACCCGGCCTATGCACAACCTCCCCAAGCAACCGAACTCCAAAAGATATGGGGGATGATGAGGAAAGAAAATTACAATAAGCAACAGACGAAGGAATTGGAGGTTGTGAGACTAGTTTCGAGCGAAGAAAGGGGGGGAGAGGAGGAGGAGGAGGTGATGAGGAAGAGGGAAGAGTGAGAGAGGACGGAGAGGGAGGAAAGGGAGGAGAGGTGACTTATAAAGTTTGGAGAATGAGACGCCATAGTGGATGAAAAGGAAGAAGGGGTATCGAGACCGTAGAGGGACATTAGGGAAAGCATGACATGCATTAAAAGAGAGTTTCAGGCATAAACAAGTATTGAAAGTACCTTGGGTAGGAAATAGCTGTGAGAGCGACAAGTGTGAAAGACAGCGATGAAGTAGAAGGGAAACACGGCGAGATTAAAGATGATGGGAGAAAAGGATACAACACATAACAACAAGACGAAACTTAACACGACAAGGCATGAATGAAAGTGGTTGAACGCAAAGCCCTTGTATCGAGTACGAGTAAAGCACGAAGGTACCTACAAAGGAACAGGTAGGAGTAAGTGCCATTGGTGAATGAATTCCTCAAAGGCCGAGAGGACAGCAGTTTCTACATCACCAATGCACGTAGCTTGTAGGTAGCAAAAGGTAGTTTTTATCTCGCTGTCTTGAAGTTGCATCTACCTCTAACCATCTAAGCCTTGACCTTCATCAGTAACTACGTCTTGTTGGCAACGCAGTCTCTGCAGTCTCAAGGCGGTATGTACAAGTAATGCAGTTTAACTATGTTGACAATGTGTATGTAGAACCAAACACTCTTCATCAAACTATTCTTCATCCCCCTCTCTACTCTACTCTACTTCTGCCCCTTCGACGTTCGTTCTGTTCTTTGTAAAACACCGCCTCTACCAGTAACTCCTCTTCAGCCACTGTCTTCATCGTCAACCCAGCTTAGCCCAAGTCGAAGTCCGGTAGACGAACCTAGCTAGCTACCTTAGGCATAAGCTTGGTGCTCTTTGCCCTTCTCACCAGAGGCTCAATTCTATCAAATCCCTTCCTCCTCTTCTTTTCCCCCTTCCTCTTGTTCCTCATCTTTGCCACCACGATGAACCGCCGTGACGAAACACGAAAGACAGAAAACCCAGGAAAAGAGTGGGAAACACAACCCCTGACAACCGACAACCGACAACCGACAACCGACAACCGCGCGCTTCCGAACCGGATATCGGATATCAGATCACAAGTCAAATTCCTACTCCTCCTCGTTCCGATATCTAAGCGGTTTCTGTCTCTTTCTTTGGCTTCCGCTTCCTTCTCTTCCTTCTCTTCCTTCTCTTCCTTCTCCTCCTTCTCCTCCTTCTCCTCCTTCTCCTCCATGTTCTGTACCTCCTTGTCCCTGTGATCGTGTTTGTGATTGTCCTCTCTTAGATGATGATGATCCCTTAGATCTCAACATTGAGGTTGATGAACGTTTTGTGCCTCTGGTTTCCCTTGTTTCCCTTGTTTCCCTGGTTTCCCTGGTTTCCCTGGTTTCCCTGGCTGGGGCTCCCTTGGATGCAGTTGCTGATCTGGCCTTCTTAGAGGATTTTTTTGAGGTTGGAACGGCTGGAATTGGGGTTGGATTTGGGATTGGATGGTTTGCGAGTACTGGTGCTGCTGCTGACGTTGCTGGTGCTGCGGGTGAGTTTCCGTTCTGTTCCCCTGGTGGCTGTGGTGGTGATTTTGTCTTTGCTGGTGTTGCTGCTGCTTTGTCTCGTTGCGATTCTGCCTCGAGAGAGAGATAGAGACTGAGCCGTTGATTGGGACTGAGATGTCGACTGAGACTGTCTCTGACTGGACCGCTGCCGTAAAACTTTGCTGCCAGCCACTGAAGCCTCAGTGATTGACTTTTCCGATGACGAAACCTGAGAACGACGAGGTCGGAGAGTCTTGATAGGAGGCTGGTCATCTTCACTATCCCCATCCTCCTGGTCATCACGGCCATTGTCACCTTCATCATCGTCAGCAGATTCAGATTCAGAAGCATCGCGACCAGAGGCAGCTCTAGCGCCATCTTCGGAGGTGAACCCGTTGAAGACTTCTTCGTCTTGCTCTTGATCCTCAACTTCATCATCGCCGTTGTCAGCATCTTCATCTCCACCCGCATCCGCATCCTCTTCTTCAACACCGCCCTCATCCTCACCCTCGCCCTCGTCCTCACCCTCACCCTCACCATCACCATCACTGTCATCTTCCTCCTCCTCAGAAACAGCAGAAGCAACAGAAGCGACATCCTCCTCCCCATCATCTTCGTCGTTATCAGAAGTAAACGGTTGGAAGTTCGCCGCTGTGTGGTACAGTCTACTATTAGCTGTACTCTGAGGTGGCTCTTGCGGCTGTGGTTGTTGTTGCTGCCCCTGCCGAACCTGTTGTCGCTGTTGCTGAATCTGTTGCTGCTGGACTTGTTGCGCCTGATAGCCTTGCCGGGCATTAGCAGCTGCGGTTCTCAAGGATTGCTCAGCCCAGAGTTGAGCTTGGGCTGCAGCATTGTGTTTAGTAGAGGTATGGTGAGCGCGCAAAGCATTTTCTGCTGTGCCACTGCCACCTGGTGAGCGAGTGACGGTGACTCCGAGCGGCTTGATTTTCATTATGGACGGCGAAGCCAGGGTTTCGGTGGCGGTGGTAGCAGTGGCGCGGGAAGAGCGGGTGAGAGTGTTGCTGTGCTTGCTTGATTTCGACGGGGACTCAGCGGCAGTGGGAGCTTTTCGCCTCTTTGACACATGGTCTAGCTCAGAAGCAGAAGAGCCTTCATCCATGGAGTAAACGCCTGCTTCATCTGATTTGCGCTTTTTGCCTCTGCTTGGGGAGAGGACACGGGCACTGGGGCCGGCAGATGTCGATGGAGAGTTTGAAGATTGATGGCGCGCGTTCCCCGCGGAGGCGGGGACAGAGCCATCACCACCACCAATACCACTCTCCAGTCTATTCCACTGCCTTGTTTCAGCCGATTCCGAAGCCGAAGCAGACCCAAAAGTAGAAGCAGACTCACTATTAGCGTGCCTTAACATCTTTCTCGGTTTCCTCCCAGCACCAGGACGTACGCCGCCTCTATTAGAGCGTTTCTTTTCTTGCTGCCCTTCTTTCTGGTCCTGGTCCTGGTTACCTTCTGCTTCTGCTTCATTACCATCACCACCACCTTCACCATCACCTTCACCATCGCCATCACCGTCACCGTCGCCGTTATCGCTGGTACCGTCACCGTTACCGTCACCAGGTTGAGAAGGAGCGGGAGTAGAGATGGCGGTCGTGTAAGCTGACGCTGATGCCGATGCTGATCTGGCGCGGGTGTTGTTGGCTAGTGCCGTGCTAGTTGTTGCGTTGGCGCCGGCGGAGGTGGAAGTGGTTGTGGTATGAGCGTTGCGAAGTTGACGCCTCCGACGGCTAGTAACCTTCGAAGGCGAAAGCGGCGCGTCGCTATCTTCTGACTTGTCTTGGTTTCCCTCGTTGTTCTCGTCCTCGTCCTCGTCCCGCTCGGCCTGGCTGTCGCTTATTTCAGACACAGCTCGAGCGCGACGGGTACGAGTCATGGGTTGATGACCAGAGATGGCATTGGCATCGGCCCCGGCATTGGCCATGGGGATGTCACCATCACCATCACCATCACCAGCCTCTGCATCAGCAGCATCTACCTCCGCCTCTGCACCCGACTCCTCAGCCCCCACCCTCTTCCCGCCCCTCTTCCTCCCAGCTCCCGGCCTCCTCCCACCCCGCCTCCTTCTCCTTCTTTTCCCACCAGATGAGTCATAATCTTCATCATCTTCATCATCCTGCTCTTCATACAAGGGAACATGATCCTTAATCCACGTTTCATCCTCGTCGTCATCACTAGGAGGAACCTCCATCGTAGCCGCTGTCTTGCGAGCGCCGCCGCGTTTCGCTTTGCCTTTAGAGGTAGTGCTGCTACTAGCCTTGGAAGTCGCCTTACGAGCCGTCCCTTGCGCAGCGAGATTACTCGAGTTTGCAGTTGGTCTAATGACTCCTCTCTTGCCTCTGCCTTTTCCCTTTCTGGGGGAACCATTGCCATCACTTTCCTGATCCTGAAGAAGCTTCTTGGTAAGATTTGGGAAATTGTCGCCGTAGTTGAAAAATAGCTCCTCGCCGGCTTTGATATCCCTAAGCGCATTGAACTTGATCCTGTACTCGTAGTTCACATACACGATCTTCGGTCCAATATTGCACGCCCTCTTGTCGCTTTCCGAAGCATGGTTGATGTACCGTGACTCGTTGCCGTACATGGCTGCGTCGACCCAGATACCTTCGTACTCCATCAGAGTGAACAGGTAGGAGCTGCTGCCCTTGGGCCCGAACCCTTCCCCGCGACGAGCTTCCCGACGCACGCCTTCGTCGTGGCTGATCATCTCGCCGGTGTACTCGATTACGTACTCGTCCTGGGCGATGTCTTCTGCCGTGTAAAGGCCGTAGCCGCATCCTTCGAGCTGGGATTTACCGAGCAGAAGGGTCTTGGTGGCACCGCGTTGGAGACTGACGTTCTGACAACCGGTGGAATGCAACACTTCATCATAGGCGTTGTCTGGATCCGCCCTTTCCTTCGCTCCACAACCCTTGCACACGATTGGGTCGCACTCGCGGTTGAGCATGAGGCAGATACACGGCTTTCCCTCCTTTTGTTTCTGAATGCAAGTCTTGCCACTCGAGTGACACGCGCAACCGGTGAACTTGAGCGCGCAGTCTTCTGCCGTGCAGTGACAGAACCGATCGCAAAGTAAAGGAAGCGGAGAGGCATTGGCGCAGCCACAGGCTTTGTTCTCCTTGGTGCAGGGCCCGTCATGATGACAAGGTTCCGTAATCTCACGTTGGGAGGCCTCGTGGGTACTGGTCTGCTCTTGCCAGTCGCCCATGAGACACTTCTTGCGACGGTCATACCAGGGGAGCGGTTTGACCTTGGCTGGGGGACCACCTTTGGGGCCAGCCTTGGGACGAGGTGGCGAGAAGTGGGGAAGGGTGAGGTCAAGTTCTTTGATTTTGCGGTAGACTTCCCAGCACTTGCGGCCTAAGATTGTGGCCACCACACATTGTGCTTTGAGAGTCTGACTGTGCCCGACACTGAGAAACATATCCTCCAAAACCGAGACTTCACTATCTTCCCAAGGAGTTACGGGGGCGACAGCTGGACCGATGTCATAGTGTCGGTAGCAGGCGTTGTGACAGGGGAGGTGCATAGCTTTCTTAGAGGTTGCTGCCGCAGCTGCATCGTCGCCACCCATGGCGGCGACTTGGTCGGCCCACTTCCGCTTGAGAGCCCGGATGACACCCCCGACGCTATCGAGGGAGAAGGTCCGGTGGTAGTTGAACTTGTCGATATCACCATGTTCACAGTCGTGGCTGAAGCAGATGTTGCAGCCCAGAACCGTGTAGCTTGAAAGCGAGGCCTCGACTTTTGGAAGCAGGCCGTTGCTGTCTGATTGGTCGCGCTCAGTATCGGCTGGAGGGGGTGTCTCTTTTGCGCGCTTCTCGTCGACGACGGTCTCGCGCTTTTCGAGGAGCAGGACTTCGCGAAGGGTGATGGAACGCTCCGGTTCGGTGTTGTTTCCGAACACATTGTTAAATGCGATGGTAAACATACGTGCCGCTTCTACAGCCTTTGGCGACAACTCAGCGTCGTCTTTGTAGGTGTTGAGGAAGGCATCCTTTTGCTGTTGTGTGATGTGTGCTTGGTTTTCCTCCTGGCTCAACATGTAGCGGATGAGCGTCGATCTGGGACAAATAACATCGAGACCTAGTTGCTTCAGCCATGGCTCGATGTACATGGAGAGCGTGGCGGTATATTCATCCCGGATACGCTTATTTTGCTTCTGTTCCCTGCTTTCGGTCTTGAATCCAGAGTCACTGTCCAACTTGTTCAGTTCGTTGAGCCAGTTGATGTACTGTTTCTCTGCCAGCGAGTCTGGATCCACGTCCCGGAGGTGAGGAACAAAGGTGAGCATCGCATTTGGAACCAAAATGTTCTTCTTGATCTCCGTATGATGAAACCTGTATTTGGGGACAGCCTCCTTGTCGGTCCTGATCTTGACGACCGGGCACTCGAAAGCCTTGGTGGGAGCCCTGGGCTTTCCGTTGTCACCGTGGTGAAGCTTGAGTTTGAATGCCATGGTTTCTACTCCGGCCTCCGAAACAGAAGCCACGTCGGAATTAGTAGCGCTAAGGGCCGGCATGTCGGCGAAAGCGTCATAGTTGCTTAGATGTTTTGGCTCTGGGGCCATCTGTTCGGCGTCATCGAGTAAATACTCAACATAACGAGCATGGTCTTCGCCTACCGTAGAAGCGAAGGTTTCGAGCTTGGACACTATGTCTTCTACTGTCAAGTTTGGAGCCTCAGGAGGTTGGATGGCCGGGTGAAAACCAGCATCACTTGAGATAGAAGCTGCCGAAGTTGAAACCGGATGTTGAGAAGTGAAGTCGGAGGTTGACATGTGCGGTTGTGGCTGTGGTCGTGGTGGTAATATCGTGGTCGCCAACGGCTGTGGGATATCTGGGTCTGATGGCTGTGACGGTGATAACCGCGACGGTGTTGGTTGTGATAGCAGTAACCCAGACCTAGGAGGTTGAACAGCTCCCCTAAATAGTGGTTGAGCAGGAGGCCTGGAAACATTGTTGGGAGGATGAGGTTGCTGTGTTCTTGATTGAGGGTCATTGACCTGACTAGAAGTTGGCTGAGGGGCATATTCATAAGACGCTCTGGTTGGATCATTTAATATGCTATTGCCTGCGTTTGGTGGCCGTATCCTCGTGTCTCTGTGGACGTGCCCCGGAGGTTCTTGGGAGCTTGGTTGCCTAGGGGCTTGATATGGAGGCTTGAACACACTGCTGGACACAGGATGTTGCAGTGCACTAGAGCGCTGTCCCTGAATCTGGCTGTAAGCTGTTTGTGAGGCGGTTCTGAAAGAAGCCTCAGCCGAGGTAGAAGACGAAGAGTGGTGTGGTGGTCGTTGAAGTTGTGGATACCTCGCTTGTTGTAGATTCGGTGCAGCTCTGGGGGCGGTTTGTGAAGGGGCCTTGAATATACTCCCGCCCATAGTCTTTGAAAACTGTCCCTGGGAAGCCGATGGCATATGTCCTCCTTCTTGAGCTCTAGTTGGAGCAGATGAGCTAACACTTTTCCTAGCAGGTCCAAGCATGTGTTTGGGTGCAAATGGGTGCGGTCTCCTGGACTGTTCATCCTGAACTTGAGCTGGAGGTTTTCCGGGGCCTGATGTGGTCGAGGTCGCCTTGGACATAGCCTTTGGTATAGGCTTGGATTGTGTTGAAGGTGGCCTCATAGTCTCGGATCGGCCAGTAGTGCTGCTGTTGACTATGTGGCTGCTCTCACCACTGTCACTCCCGCCGCCGGCTTGGTTGTTGGAAGTTGTTGAAGATGATGACTTTCTGACAGGCGAGTGACTGGTCCGCTTTCTGTGCTCCTTTTCGTAAATGGTCTCGACTGGAGACGGTTCTCTTGGTACTACCGCCGGCCGTTGCCACAGCACAAATCTTCCTCTGCCAAGACTGGGATGCGAGTCTTCTCGGTAGTGAATGGAGCCGTTGTGGGTGATGCCCTCTGTGGGATCGTTTGCTCTGACCACCGCAGCAACAACCTCCACGCCATTATCCTCGTCGTCCGAATTGCTGGAGCCTGCATCCTTGGACGATTCACCGGTGAAAGGGTCAGCCAATGGGAGTGGATCGGGCACTGGCATCGCTTCAGCTTTCCGTCAGGTGAACTTTTCTTTGGTGTTGCAGACCCCGTACCAACAACGCCCCCCCTCTGATCCTAGTCTGATGAAGTTGCCAGCCGACCGGAATGCATTCAACCTGAACCGCCCAATTTCAAGCTGTTAATACGGAAAACTTGTCGCCGTCCTCCGAATGGTCGAATTTCTCATCTCAGACTCAGATTTGGTCGATTGGTTTTTGCGACGGTGTCCGATAATTCTCGGTAATGCTATGCTTGGTTTGGAAAATGGAGTTCGGAATGAACTTGGTTGTCGTCGAAGAGGTGATGATGGATGGGACGCGTGAGGTTGTTGCGACGCGATTTCAAGACATTCTGGCCAGTAGGAAGAGTTCCTGAAATCGTAGTGTTGGAGTAAAGGTCAGTGAACCTTGAGGGTTAAGAATGAGGGTCTGGCCTTTGAGTGCACGAGCCACGTTGAATTGGAATTGCTAGTGGCCGGGGTTAGGGTTAGCTGTATCTAGTGGTCTAACGCGCTCTTAACGTTTGTATCATATCGCTCTTTCTATTCTATCCCTCTATAGAGTTCTTTACCCATTACATGGAATAACTGGTATTAATCTCCCTTTTGACTTTTAGCAACAGCCTCGGCCCGTATCAAGCCCTTGCCCTCTTACACTGTACTGTTGGACACGATTGGTTGTGAATTATTGGAGTCTTTAAAGAGTTCACAGCTTGGCTTGGCATTTAGATGGCTTGTCTTTCTTTCCTTTTGGTCTTTAGCATCAATCCCAATTCAGCACGAAGTTGTCCACAACCGGGTGGGTGAGAGTTTGCTTATGACGGCGTTGACTTGGTTGAGTGAGATGTAGGTCGGCGGCATGTGTGATGAACCAACGTCATCTTCCGTCTCCGGAATTGGCACTATCGACACTATAGGGCGCTAACAGTAACAGTCACAAAGAAACCGATTCCATCCCAAGACATTCCAGCTTGGCCATCGACCTCCGTCAGCGAAATCTCTTTACACTGGAGCACATGGAAAGTCATGTGTTTCTCTTATGAAGTCTCCGTTCCCCTATGATCTTCTCGTGATCCGAAGCAGGGAAACAGGATTTCCCTAAGCAAACAGCGTTTATCCTGGTGTCCATATGGTAGCTATGATCTCCAAGGTGTCGGGATTCAGAAACATTCAAATGTCAAAGCATACCGGATTTCACCATCAAGAGCCACAGCACCTTTGATAAGTTTCTTTCCAGAGCCGATACCTGGTTGCGAGTGACGATTCTCATCCAGACCAACCATAATGAGCTGGAATGATATGTAATGCACATGAACGAGTGAAATGATCATCACATCCCCCGGAGACTGCGGAGTTCAGTGCAAACCCGATGCAGGTAATTGTTAGGGCAGCTGCACTGTCGATGCGCTGAGATGCACTTGTCGATGACGAGTGGGGACGTCCCCTTTTGGTGGCAACCCCCCCCCCCCCCCCCCACTCTTCTCGATTGGGGAAAGTGAGCTTGAGCCTTTTTGCAGTGCCGCCTTCTCTTCGCGTCTGTAGAGGTTGCACACCGACGTCATCTTGGCCTGGATCTGCCGGCAGCACGAGCATTCGACGATTCGAGAGCCCAGAACTGGAACTGGAACTTGTCCAGGACTCCAGGTCTCCAGACTGTCCCAAAAAGGCCAGACGAACTCCTGTCGCCCTTGATTAGAAAAGGAAATCCTGTCCCCGTCTTGTTTCATTGGTTTTCCCCTTTCCCGTTTCACCTTCCATCAACTCACTTCCACCCTTGAGGCCTCATCCACCAACACTACCCTGATCTACCTGGCCAGGTGCTGCTTACCGCCCAAATATTACACCCAAGAGAAACCCCCCGACTCACACCGTCAACTGAATTGTCCTACATCAACATCAACATCTCCACAACAACAACATCACACCACCATCTTGTGATCGACGACTCCAAACCACCGACGACAATTGAGACACCCGATCATCCACGTAAACAAGATAAAATCTTTTTGAACCATGCATCGAACCTACTCTATGCGCGCTACGAGGGCGCCAACCGCCTCTCAGATCCAGAACCCCCCTCCACCACCATCAACCACAAAGTCAGGCCGTCTCTTTGGTCGCGGCGGAATTGGTGAGTCCTGACCCCTTTTTCTCAAAAGTCAAAAAACGAGCAGCACGGCTCATACCCTGTGTGAAACGTTAACAGGAGGGCTAGGACATGCTCTACGACGCAACGCCGCCGGCGCCTTTGGGCCCGACCTCGCCAAGAAGCTGTCGCAGCTGGTCAAGATGGAGAAGAACGTGATGCGCAGCTTGGAGATGGTGGCCAAGGAGCGCATGGAGGTGGCCCAACAGCTGTCGCTCTGGGGCGAGGCCTGCGACGAGGACGTGTCCGATGTTACGGACAAGCTGGGTGTGTTGCTCTACGAAATCGGCGAGCTGGAGGATCAGTACGTCGATCGCTACGACCAGTACCGCGTCACCATGAAGAGTATTAGGAACATTGAGGCTTCGGTGCAGCCCAGCAGAGACAGTAGGCGACTATTTCTACTTCCCCTCTTTTTATCACACCTCTTTTCAATATTGCTGTTCAAGTCTAACACCCCCCTCCGCAAAAAAGGAAAGCAAAAGATCACCGACCAAATCGCCCAGCTCAAATACAAAGAACCCAACTCTCCCCGCATCGTCGTCCTCGAGCAAGAACTCGTCCGCGCCGAAGCCGAGTCGCTCGTCGCCGAGGCCCAGCTCTCCAACATAACGCGTGAGAAGATCAAGGCCGCCTACACGTACCAGTTCGACGCCCTGCGCGAGCACTGCGAGAAAGTCGCCATCATCGCTGGCTACGGCAAGCACCTACTCGAACTCATCGACGACACCCCCGTCACGCCGGGCGAGACCCGCCCCGCGTACGACGGCTACGAGGCCTCCAAGGCCATCATCCAGGACTGCGAAGACTCGCTCACGAACTGGGTTACGCAGAACGCGGCCGTTTCCGCAAAGCTTTCTACTCGCTCGCGGACGCTCAGCCAGCGCAGGAGGAATAACATCAAGGCTAGAACGGAGGGTGGCACCGGACAGGGACATGATTTGTCGGGCCAGGACGCCCCGCTTAATGATCGCGACTCGTGGGTGCCGGCGAATCAGCACAAGGAGGTTGCGGCGGATTATGATGTGTCGGACGAGGAAGAGGAGGACGATGATGATGAGGATGAGGAGGTGGATGATATTGATGTTGCCGGAAACCATTCGCTGCTGGATAGTGAGAGCGGGATCAACGGCGAACATCATCAGCGTGGGAGGAACCAGGAGCCTGTTGCTGCTTGAATAAGGCGGTGGTACATGGCTAGAGAGCGATGATCTGAGGAGGCTCTACTAATGGTCCGATGACGACTTGGAAGCTGTGATGGATAGGTTGGCAGGAAGGACTCTTTAAGCGACACTCTTTTTATACCTCTACTCTTCTTTCGTTCTGTCTGAGCCTGACTGAGATGGGACAGACAGACACGCGCAGGCAGGCAGGTTATAGTCTGCATAATTGGTAATGTTAAGGTTTTCAAGGTTTGGGTTTTGGATTGGACGATGGTATGGGTCAAAGTGATTGATTGTCAGTGAGATACCTCGGGAAGGAGAAGACGGACAGGCTTGAGATGGACAACGGTAGTTTAACGATTGCGCTATGGTTGTGATGCTCATTCTTATGCGGTAGCTTTCTGTGTATCATTATTCCCAGTTTCATGATAATGTCGTCGAGTGTGTGAGTGCCGTCGGGTGTTATAGTTGATGTCCATGGCTGGTAACAGATATGACATTCACGCTCCGGAGTCGGAATTGAAATCCAATGTTACAAAGACGTGCCAGAGGAACAGGTTATTAACATTCAAATTGGACGTCGCGAAATATATAGTTGCCGTGTCCAACTGATGATGCACGAGACACTTATCGGACAAAGGATTTGCGTTACCATCATCGGACGCAAACTAACTACAAGTACAAAATGGGTGAAAGATAGGTCATCATTCTTCGGCTATCAAGGTCAACAAAGAGTCACAAGACCACAATGTGAATTTTCTGGAGAGACCGACAAAGGACTGAGACTTGGAACCTTAGTTCAACAGATATTTAAGTATGAGAAAGCGGCCAAGATTAAACTGGCAGGAATACCGACTTACTCTTTCAAAAAGACCAAAAAGAGGAAGAAGACCCCTTCCATAATGATAGCTCCAGATGTTGAACAACTTTGAATCATCAGAAGTGATCAACGAAAAATCGCAAAAATAATGATCGCGGCAGGGCTCGAACCTGCGATCCTCTGCGATTACAATGTAAAGCAGATGCCTTAACCACTGGGCCACGCAACCGTTAATGACAGCTGGATGCTAACAAGACCTTATAAGGATTTAGAAATAAACAAGGGTACCCCGGCAGACGGACATTGCCGGAAGCCAAGTCCCAACCGGCATTGGCGCGAACTTCAGCTCTTGAAACAGCGGGGTCCTCAAGCTCTCGGAAGCTCCAAGACCATCACGGTTCACGAAGCTTCACCACTTGCTTCGCAACAACTCTCAACTTACCAATTACCCGGGCAAACACCATCCACCACCAATTGCCCAACATGAAGTCCTTCCGCGCCGCCAATGCGCTCCTGCGCACCAACAGCGCTGCTTACAATGCCATTTCTCGGTTAGTGGTCACCCCACCATCATCACCTCAAGACACCAATTTGTTTGTTTACTTCGACCAAAAGCTAACAACCACCATAGTGCCACCCCTCTCGTAGCCGCCACAAGCTCCCCGGCCTGTCAATGCCTCCTAACCACTCCCCGTGCGACTCTCCCCCAGACTGTCCGCCCCTTCTCAACAACCCCCGTCCGCCCCGGCAAGAAAGACAAGAAATCCAAGCGCGGCGGTTCAGAAGAAGTCGAAGAAGCTCCCGCCCGGGGCGGTGGCGGCAAGAAGGACAAGAAGTCCGGCAAGGGCTCATCCCCAGCAGCCGCCGAAGAAGACCATTCGAACGAACCCAAAGACCCCAACCGGCCCGTCCCCTCCGCCGAGACCCCCTACGACCTGTCAGACCTAACCTACGCCTTCGACCGCGCCGACAAGCACTACCTCGACGCTCTCAAGACCTTCCGCACCGGCTCGCGTTTCTCCGCGGACTCCATCGGCGCCCTGCCCATCTTCCCCGACAAGAAAGACACGTCCCTGACCTACCCCCTGCGGGACCTAGCAACCGTGGCCCAAGTCTCCGGCTCGGGCCGCAAGTGGTCGATCTTGTGCTTCGACGAATCTTCCGTGAAACCCATCATGTCCGCCGTGCAAAAGTCTCCCGATTTCAACCAGCAACCGCAGCGCAGCGAAGAGAATCCGCTGGAACTGACGATTACAGTGGAGCCCGAGCGGGCGGAGGATTTGCAGAAGCGGGTTAAAGAATTGTGTCAGCAGTGGAGAGATAAGCTAAGGGCGGAGAGCCATAAGCGCGAGGCGCTGCATAAGAAGTGGAAAGGACAGGGGAGTATATTGGAGGATGATGTCAAGAGCTTGAAGACCAAGGTGCAGAAGCTGCAGGATGAGAGGATGAAGGGCGTGGCGGTTAGGGAGAAGGAGGTTTGTCAGGCTGTTATGGCTAGGAAGTAAGTCTTTGGTGAAGGGGAAGGGGGGGGGTTGATTCTTGTGTGTGTATTATTATCTTTGCTTGTGTTTATATGGTTTGGGGATATTGTCGAGATATGGCTTGTCCTGTTATGAGGGAGTCGGAATACCATTGGCTTTGATGTAGTTGCCTGCGGTCTGAAAAAGTAGAGTTCGTGTGAATAGTCCTCCGGATGAAATCCATACTGTCCTGTGTGGGATCAGGAGGCATTCGTGGACTTTGTACTAGACTTCCAATGTGTGAATGTTTAGGACAAGAATGATATGCCATAAACCTGTTACCCGTGTTTGGTTGAATGGTTGCTTTGTAAAAGCATCGAAAAGTCAAGTTGTTGCCTAAGCACCTTAGACCGTAAGAGCAACATTTGTTTCGAAGTCCACATCTCATTATGCCTTGAGCTCCGAACAAGGACGGACGAAGTCAAGACACTGTACAATACCTTCAAACAATCACTGCTTTTCTACAGAGCACACGAGGACAGTCGATACGGGTATTCATAATGTTACAGCTGGACCAATCTATCCCATCCCAGTCCTCTATCTGTTTTTACACATCTTCTCTCCCCTCCTTTCCCTACCCTCCCAAGCCACATCAGATCTGACCTTACGCCTTCTTCTGGGGCGGGAGCGCAGCCCTCGGCTGACCAGCCGCAAGCAACTGGTTCAGCTTAGCCTTAAACTTGTTCGCATCGCTGGACGCATAGCTAAACGTGCTTCCCTGATACTTCTCCACCATAGCCACGGTATCAGTGATACTCTCGACAAACTTGGGCGCCTCATACTTGCCGAGGACACTCGTCTCGAGAATCGCGCGCTTAGTCTTATCCTTCGGTCCCTGGCTCAGCGCAAACTTATCCAGACTCTCCTCCAACCACTCCTTCTCCTCGACGCTGCTGAAGAACACCGGCTTCTTCTCATGCAGGTACCGATGCTTCACAGCCGTGGGATCGCTAGTGACTCCGCTCTCGGTGTTGAACGGCAGACCGCCACCGAGGATGCGCATCGTTCGCAAAGCCGTCTCCACCTTGCCGAGCGCCGCATCCGTGGCCATTGGCGGGCCGTATCCCAACAAAGTGTCGGGCGTGAGCTTGGGAACGTACTCCGAGACTTTTCCTTGCTCGAGGGTGTTGATGAAGGCAATTTCCTCTTCACTGGGAGGACGCTCGTCCTCGTCTTCGCCTCGGCGCGGCTTCTTCTCGCCGCCGCGGGCCGGTTTTGGCCTCTTGATGAAACCGGGTCTGCGAGCGCCTGCGGTGCGAGGGCCACCTGCGCCGGAACCAGGGGCGCCGAAACGAGGACGACCGGGGGGTCCGCCAGGGCCAGCGGATCTGCGATCACCAGCGCCAGGGCCACCAGCACCAGCGCCAAAACGAGGACGGAAAGCAGTGCTGGGAGCGACGGCGCCGGGTACACCACCCCCAGGAGCGAAGCGGCCGCGGCCGAGGGTGCCCTTGAGGGAACGGACGTTGATGACCTTGGGAGCGCCGGAGGGGCCACCGCCAGCACCACCACCGCCGCCGAGGGGAGAGACGGTACCGGAGCGACCGTCCCTGTTGATGGGAGCGGCGAAACGGCGGAGATCGCGAGCACCGGCAGGAGGAGCCTTTTGGAAGGAGTTGTCGTCGGTCAGGGACGTGAAGGATCCGCGGAGCTGGGTGAGCTTGCCGACGGCGGCTTCGGACTTTTGGCGGCTGGGGCTGGCGGGGGCGCGGGGAGCGGCATCGGGCTTGTTGGCGCTGGGCTTATCGTCTTCGCATTGGCGGGTGGTGGTGGAGAAGGGACGGCTGGTGTTGAGGAGGGTGCTGGTCGCGCGGCAGCAATCGAGGGCGACACCCCGCCGGCTCAGGGTAGAGGTAACCACCTGACGGTTCATGGTCGGTGGTTGTTGTGTGGTGGAATGTTGTGGTCGAGAGGTGGCGGTTGGGGGACGACGACACCACACTTCGGTCGCGGGATCGAAACTCGAAAGTGGACGACGGAGCCGAACGCTAGGCGGGCGGGTTCGCGGGACTCAGCGAAGGTGCCGTGGACCGTGGACGGGCTCGACGGTCGCGGTATGGAGCTCAAAATTGCCCGTCAAATCGGACGCTCAACCCGGCTCCCGCCAGGGCAGAAGCAGAGTGGGCCGTGCGCAACCCCGGATTTTGAGGAATTTGTTTGTAGGATTTTGATTGGATGGTGGAGCTTGAGGTGGGTTAGCTCGATGACAGAAATGCCCTGAAGGTCGTCACTTCAGCACTACACTATCTGTGTCTTTGTATTGTTCAACCTTCAAGTCAAGGGTCGGACATTTAATTTACAATATTTTCTCCAAGGTGCAAGATCTTGTTCCACATATTCTTCAAACTCCTTTTTTTTTGCTGTTTGAAATCCTTCCATTGGTTGTATTGGGTGCTGCACGCTGACCACGTTGTTAGCGCTGCAGCGTATAAGTCGACAACAACACCCTACCAGACCACATCTCTGGGCTCTTCTCCTTAGCTAACACCAGGAAAAGAGAACGCATAAAGGACTTCAACCACTCTTCAAGATCATGCGCTTTTCAACCCTGCTCTAAAACATCAAAATTCTAACAAACTCTTTTATCTAATCCTTCTCGCCCACTTAAGCACCAAAATCCCAAACCTCCATCCCCACTCCTCCCACCATCACCCTCCCCTCCTTGATAACCTCCACATCCCCAGCATCCGCCACCGAGCTATACTGATTATCCAACAGCGTCACCTTGACCGGCTCTTCGCTTCCCTCTTTCCAAACCGCCCGCCAAAGCTTCACCCGCTGGTCATTGCTGATACTAACCACCTCCATCGCCTTTCCATCCTTATCCTCTCTGACCACGCAAATCCCCGTCACACCAGCGGCATGCGCACCTTTGACTCTGGACCTGCTCAACACCTTGTACGAGTTACTGGCAGACCCATACCTTAGGCTCGTAAACTGGACAGCATTATCATCACCGCCCGTAACCACCAACCAGCTCTCATCCCCCGGCCACTTTGCATTGTTATACCTTGGCTTCGAGACGTCCAAGCCCTTAATGCTGCTCTGGTGGACCTTGAACAGCGCCGCACAGTCGTAGCGAATCGCCCCCTCCCAAGCCGACAAGTCAGTAGAATCCGAGACAGAAACGTCCCAAACGGCAATGTGTCCATCCGTCGCGGCTGTCAGGACCTGGATGTCTCCGGCGTGGCCGCCGCCGCCAGGGACTCGCAAGTGCCGGATCTGCGTCAGACACGCGCCCGTGTAGCGGCCCTCGGCCAGCAGCACCCACCGTTTTTCCGCGATCCAGTAGACATACGTCCTGAGCGTCGAGTTGCTCAGCGCCAGACTGATGAGCATCGCGTCCGATTGAGGCTGCCCATCCGAGGTCCCCCAAACCTCAACGTCGAAGTCGACGATGCGCAGGTCCCCGTCTGCGCTCCGGTCAGGGTATTGCGACTCGCAGACTACCGCCAGAGACTCGTACGATGAGTCCAGTTGCGTAATTCGCCAGATGTAGAACTCTTCGTTTCCGGCGCTGCTCAATAAATGCGACTCGCCAAACCACTTCATGGCTTGGATGCCGGCGCTGTGTTTCTCTAGGATCGCGAGCGGTTTGAAGGCCCTTTCTGTTTCCTTGCCTTGCCCGGAAGGGGAGTCGCGGTACTGCCACAGCCGAATAGTCGTGTCTTCAGCAGCGGTGGCTATATACCGTCCCACTTCTCCATTCTGCAGCGAGGAAGAAGCAGCGACGGCCCTTAATTCCCGACCATGTCCTCCCTCCTTGAGGGTGCGCATCGGAGGCGAAGATTGGCTGTAAAACCTTAAGGCAGATGCTTTGGTAAACACAAACCTCAACGGCCCTGGCACGCCAGACCTAGAAGAGGGGAAAACAACATCAAAAGCCCTATGCCCACCACCGCATTCCACAGTCGTGAGTTCTTGGCGGGTGGATTCGCTCCAAACGATGAAGTTCTTGCCGCGGAAGCCGTGGATGATAAGGTCAATTTCGTTGCCGGCGAGACTAGTGAAGCGGGCGCCTTCGATCATACCCAAAGGAGGCGAGATTTCGTGTTGGAGGTGCAGTGTTGCTTCTGAGTTTGAGTCTGAGTCGGGGGTAGTAGAGGAAAGGGTATAGATCCTGTACCGCCCGTCACGACAGCCGGTGAGGAAGGAGGTCGAACTACCTGGTAAAGGAACGATGCAGGTGACTGCGTCCTTGGTGCGCGCGTCCTTGCGGGAGTAGTCGAGGGTGTAGGCGTCGTCGGTGGACTTGTAGAGTGCCACGGCACCGACGCGCGAGCCGAGGATCAGTTTGGAACTGCAGAAGGCGGCGGCTGTGGCGATGAAGGGGGAGACGTCGTCGCTGGATAAATAAATCTTGCGCGGGTTGATGGTGACGGAGGAGGTAGATGGGTCGAAAGACATAAGAAGGGCGTGGTCGAGACCGAGGACGGTGATGATAACTGTCCAGGCGCCGGGTTGGTCTTTGTGCAGAGTCTCTTGCGAACCTTCGATGAGGAGGATGTCGGAGATCTTGCCGGGGAAGGTATGCAGTTCTTTGATCTCGTGTCCATCTTCGAGGAAGAGGTAGACTTTGCCACTGGAGCTGCCGAGGATCGCGGTTCCCTGTACCGGGCTCTTGACAACGTAGTAGGACTTGAGGTCGGCGAGGACAGTTTCGGAAAGATGGACGTTCTTCCATGTTAGACCTTCGCCTACTGTCCCGTGCAAGAGCCTGCCGGAGGATGTCGTAGCGAGAAGCGTGTTCTCAGATAAGAACGAATATCTCTGGAACCCATTCTTTGTCGTGCTCTTTTTCTTTTGCCCTTCCACGGGGGTAGTCGCCTCCTCCTCAACTCCCTCGGCCACCTTCATCACATCCTCCACCGTCAATGTAACATCAATATCCTCATACCCTTCCGCCCCCTCAACAACCGCCTGATCACCAGCCATGGTAATCTTCCCATCCGCTCCTCCCGTAGCAATCAACGTCGGCAACCCATCACCCCCCGAAACAGCCGTCGACCACATATTCTTTCCATTGTGACAACTCACAATTCCACAGTTCTTGAGCGTGCCAAAAGACCCAGCAACGTCTTGTTCACCACCGCCAGAGTACCCCCTCTCCAACGCCTCCTTCCACTTCTTCTGATCCAGCGACAAATCCCACCTCTGCCTGGTAGCATCTTCACCAAACGAGTGCACCTCGATGGGATTTCCATCCCCATGTTGCGTCCTGCCAGTGAACCGCACCTGCCAGATACGCGATACGTGGCCCATAGCCACAGCGAGACATCTTGCTTTGTCGTTTTGGTTTTCGAGCTTGACTTCGGAGTTGTTGGTGCCGCCGAAACCGGTTTCTCTTGCTTCTTCCATCGCTTTGGGGTGGCCATTTTCTTCACCACCGTTGTTGATAGCTCCCCTAGTCTGCTTCGGCGAATCGGTAATATCCCACACCCTAACCGTGCGATCATCGCTACAACTAGCCAACAACCTAATCTTCTCTCCTCCTGGCAGAGAAATCTCAGGGGAGATGGAAACTCCGAAAATGGACCCTTCATGGCCGGTGAAGACGTAAAGCACCTCAAACCTTTTGGTTTTCCCCTCTTCGGCAGAGAGGAAGTACTTCCACACCACAATCTCCCCAAAGACGGTGCCGCCCGCTACCAGAATGGTCTCGTCATCCAACAAACACAGGTTCGCTGAGTACAGAATTGGTCGCGAGGGGGAGGTTAGCTGGCCGAAGGTTATTTGGGAGCTGGAGGATTTGTGCCCGATGGAAAGGGGGACGACCTCGTTGTGAGCTGTGACCAACGCCCCCTTTACTTCGGTCTCTCCATTCTTGGCGGACCGAGAGGGGAACAAAATTCCATCGTAGATCCAATCCGCTGCTTTAAACTCTTTCACCTCCTCAACATCGCTTTCACCCCTTACCAGCTTGTTGATGGTGGACTGCGGGAGGACAGCGACGGAGTTAGCGCCCCAGACTAACAGACGAGGCTCATCTTTCCTCTCGCACTCTTCTCCCGTAGCTGATGACGATGTTGACGACGACGCTGCTGGTGATGGTGACTGAGAGACATGAAGACCGTGAATAGGCTGCGAGTAAAAGACTTTGAGCTGAGAGACAAGGCGGGAGGTGGCGACGTCGTAGATTTTCAGCCAGGTGTCTTCGGCTGCTAGGACGAAGACTGAGTCTGGGCTAGAGTTGGGTGAGGGGTGGTGGTGGTAGAAGGCGAGGGCTGTGATAGGGTTTAGGACAAAGTTATGGCGGAGCTTGGTGGGAAGATTGTCCTTTGTGAGGTCTGGTTGTGTCTGTGAGGATGTGTTAGTGAGTGAACTTGTGAGGACGAGAGTGAGGGTGAGATGAGGTGAGTTGAGTTGGATTTCCTGCACTGATGGGCGCAAAAGTGTTGACGCACATTTTGAGCCATATTGGGCTTTTGGTGGACTAGCGCCTCCGATATATATGTAGAGATTTTACTGCGAAATAACCTCAACTATCCATCCTTAGAGTTTATCTGAAAGTCGAGTACCTTGATGTCCTCGACCTTTGCCCAGTCCAGTCATCCACTTTTCGGTTGAGGAAATTCCCAAGTGAAACGAGCGGCTCCATTTTTTTATGTGCGCTTCCAACCCTAACCCCACGCACCTCCCTAATCGGGCATTTGAATATGGACTCTTGTCGCCAGAAACGTTTGCTGACTTCTTAGTTGGCTTGATAAATTTCCGAACAGTCTGAACTTTTGAGGAAACTTTGTGAGGATAGTATGGTTTAGCTGCTCTTTCTCTTCCATTAACGGTCTCGTCCAACGAGAGGCTTGCGACAATTATCTACATCCGTGCTGCCTCCCCTGTGAGCCTGTCAGGGAAGGTGCAATGGAAGCCAATGCTTCAAGCACACCCGTGTAACGTTTGTAAAACGCAAACATCTTTCTTACAACTGTTCTATTTTCCATACGTTTTGTCTACTTATTTTACCTCGTTCGCACATGGTCCAACCAACAGCGTAACTCGCACCTTACCCTTACGTGAACATCCGCGCAGCGGTCGAGTTACAGACATCCAATACATTTTCGGGAGGCCTCAATATTGCACTTTACATCCTCTTCCTTCATCTTTGCCCGTAACAGAGACGGGATGCAGGATTTCGACTGGCGGACCAAACCCTTCGTAACCACTGTGAGGCGTTCATGCCAAGCCCAGGTAGGCGAGATCCTCAAGATGCGCATTGCCTTTGCCGGTGCAAACCGAATGGGGATATGTAAGTGCGGGCGCGGAAATGCACTTCTTGCTCACATGTTGGATCTGAGTTATGCAGGGCGTATGTAGGGCGGATGTATGTTGGGGCACAGGAGGGCAAGTGAGGTGGTACCGGGCATGATATGTGTGCGTGGGGAGATTTTGAGTTGGTCAGGACACGGCAGAATGAGAGGGACGTTGTACGAGATATATCGCCATTTGACTAGAATATATCTCGAAACCAAAATAACGATGGACAAGGAAAATAGGTATCATCATCCATTCCATACATTAGGTTGTACAATCAAGCAGTGAATTGTCCTGTATATCCAGAGCCCAGAGCCCAGTCTTCCTTCACTTTTCCCCAAAAGCAACGCCGTGAAATGCATCCGTAAAGATATACCTGAAGTCATAAAGCGAGAAAGCAGAAACCTTCACTCGCTGAGTCATAATCGCACCCAAAGTGCCTCTCCACCATCATCACCGCACCCCTTCATCCTCACCCTAAGCCCCTTAGACCCTCTGGTGGGAATAAGGCTCATAAGCCATATCACGCCTCCCACCCTGCTGCTGCGGCTGGCTAGGATATCCATCACCAAAGCCACCACCAAAGCCTCCCTGGCTGGGCTTCCCATACCCATTGCCATCAGCACCAGGGAACCCACCAACAGGCTGATACGGGCTTCCAATAAGCTTCTCATTCTCGATGTTAACCGACCTCCTGCTACTCCTGCTGGACCCGCCGGAGCTAGGCGCGCAGCAGCAAATAGTGAACATCCAGAAGAAAGCGCTTGCCAGCGCAAACGCCGCCGCGATCCAGATGGTGACCATAAACCGCTTGTTGAAATCGCTTTCGGCGCTGTATTTGCCGGCAACAGTCTCGACTGCGCCGACGACAATGACGGAGATACCCGTCGCCAGGGCAGCGAAACCGCACACAGCTGCGGCTGCGATGCCGGCGATGAGCCAGGTGAGACACGAAACAACGCGCGAGCAGTTGGCGAAGATGCCGAAGACTATTTCGACTACCAAAGAAACGAGCGCGATAATAAACACGATTTGCGCCCACTTGCTTGCCTTAACATAAGTCTTGAGCGCGTCGGTGACTTCCTTGGGCAAGGTAATATTCTGGCCCGTCAAAGTAAGGAGGGAGTTGATGTCATCTGTCGTTCCGTTCAGCGCGTCCTCGGCCCAGTTGAACTTGGCCTTGGTGCACTCGTGCGTGCCGTTGTGGGCGGTGTAGCAGTAGCCCCAGAGGGAGATCTGGTAGACGTCGTAGAAGCCGAGCATGGGCGCGGTGAGGTTGGTGAAGGAGTCTCCGTCGGCGCGCTTGTCGTTTTTACTGCCCGTGTTGATCAGGTCGTTGACGGTGGAGGCGCCGTCGCTGCCCAGAAG